TCTGCAGGACAGGGAGCTGCGGTAGTGCAGCTGGTAAGAGCCAGCCAGGGATGTGGCCGCAGCCCCGGGGAGCTCCGGGTCCCCCACTCCCTCCAATATCCTCTCCTCTCTGCCTCGCCCCAGTGCTGGCTGCACCTGCTGGCTGGGCTCTTGGTGGACTCGCAGTGACCTCGCCTGAGGCCTCGGCCCAACAGCGTGGCTCCCGGCAGTCGGTGCCGTCTATGGCCAGTGGATGACCCCGACAGCTCCTTAAAGCCACAGGCATAAAAATGGCGCGCATGCCGCATAGACAGACGATTGGTGTGCTGTGGGCATTCGTCCCCAGTCATTGTCCCCAGTCATCTGATACGGGGCCGTGACCCTTTCTCTGGTTGTATTTCTTGCATAAACGACATGGGAACTGCACCTCCTGTGAGCTCCAGGTGCAGCCCTTCTACCGTGGAGCGAGCCCTGGGGTAGAGGCCCGTGTGCAGAACTCCCCCGAGCCTCGTGACTCCTCCGCCCTCTCAGGGCTGCCCTGCCTGGACCTCATTGGGCAGCCACTCTCCTTGGTCAGGTGTTCCCTGTGCACTCACTTGCCTTTCACAGAACAAGCGACGACTACCCTCTGTATCTGCCTCTTGCAATTACAGGAGAAGCAAAAACTGTCCTCAGGCTGGATGGGACGGCACCCAAGGGTGGGCGTGGCCAGCAGCTGGCCCACGGGTGGGGGTGGGGGATTTCCCCAGGTCTGGGGCGCCGAGGGAGAGAGCCCGCTCCTCTGCAAGCTGGCCATAGGAAGTTGACTAAGAAAACTTCTACTGGGGGTTGGCGCCGTGGTTCACTTGGTTAATCCTCTGCATGTGGCACCAGCATCCCTTATGGGCACTGGGTTCTAGTCCCAGTTGCTCCTCTTCCAGTCCAGCTCTCTGCTGTGGCCAGGGAAGGCAGTGGAGGATGGCCCAAGTGCTTGGGCACTGCACCCGTATGGGAGACCAGGAAGAAGCACCTGGCTCCTGGCTTCAGATTGGCGCAGCGCCAGCCGTAGCGGCCATTTAGGAGATGAACCAATGGAAGGAAGACCTTTCTCTCTCTCTCACTCTCACTCTCACTCTCTCTCTCACTGTCTATAACTCTGTCTGACAAATAAAAAAAAAAAGAAAAGGAAAACTTCTACTGTGGCAATAATCCTGCCATTGCTACCAAGTGGAAGTAGGGGAGGAGGGAGGGGTGAGGGCTTTCTCCCTGTATTTCTTCGTCTTTCTGGAAAATCTTGGAGGTGGCAGGACAGCTGGGGGAGGGTGCTCGCTGCCTGGATGGGAGCAGGTCGGCAGTAAGGGAGGACAGCAGAGCCGTGCTGGGGCCCAGAGGACAGGGCCTGTGCTCCGAATCCCAGGGAGCCCCTGTAGATCCCAGCCCCGAGTCCGCAGACCCCCACCCCAGCCCCGCCCCCAGCCTGCCCTGCCCTCCAGCCCATGCACCCATGGCGGGAGGTGGAGGCGTTGGGGCAGCAGGGCCAATGTCGATGACTTGAGCCTTCCCTGAAGCTGGGGTTTCTTGGCAGGACCCTGTGAGCCCCCAGAGAGCGTGGGCGTTCCCAGGGTCAGTGACGTGGGCCCTGCCTCTTCAGGCTGTCGCTCATATCAGAGACTCTGGCACGTGTGGCTAAAACCCCGTCTCGGGGCTGGGTGTTCAGCAGGCCCCAAAATGCCGCCCAAGTCCAGGCAGGCCCAGTGTTCATTCTCCCTCGTGTCCAGCTGCGTGTGGAAGGGCAGCACAGACAGGTCCCAAGGCCACCCTCTTGCTGGGCGGTGGCAGCATCAGGTGCGCCAGTGCCTCAGCCAGGTCCCGGGCACCACTTGGAGCCGATGGCCCAGGACAGGCAGAACTACCTGGGGAAGAAGAGACAGCTCAGAGCCTGTTTTCTGCCCACACATGCGGGGCATCCCGCTTTGACCTGGCCACGAGGCCTCGGAGCAGGGAGCTTGGCGGTGAGCGAGGGGTGGGCCGGCCCCAGGATCTCCAGGGTCACGAGCATTTCTGCCTGGGAACTGGCGGCTGACTGGGAGGTGGAGGGACAGGTGGAGGGAGCTGGGGAGCCAGGAGGAGGCCACAAAAGATGTTTGAAGCCATGAGTGAACTGGCAGTGGTTGGCTGGGAAGCTGGAGGTCTCCCTAGTAAAAGAGTCGACGGCAGTGACCTCACCAGCTCAGTTTAAAAATAGTTCCTCTGCTAGCAGGATGGAGACCAATTCCAGAGTCAGGAAATCCAGGTGGAGAGAGGCCCCCGCAAAGGGAGGGTGCACGGGGCTGATGAAGCTCCACGCGAGGACACGTCTGTCCTCTGCCAAGCTCAGGTTCCTTGAGCACCTGCTCTGCACAGCGGAAGCCAAACAGGGAGAAAGCAAGAGCGTTCAGGATTCTCCCAGTTCTCACAGGGCTGGCTACCCAGGTGGGCAGGGCTGCAGGAACAGCTGAGGTTCCAGTTCAGAGCCCACAGCGGGAAAGAGCCGGGTGACAGCTCCTGCCTGCCTGCTTGCCCCCTCCCGGCACCCTTCCAGCGCCCCCTGGTGGCAGGACCTAGCAGGGCGCCCACTGATGGGCGAGCCTGGGATGTGCGGTCTGCAGACTTCCAGCCCCAGCGTCTCAGAGCAGAGGGCAGAGCTGGTGACCTTGGGCTGCGAGACAGACCCTAGCCTCACCAAACAGACTCTGATGGTGAGGCAGAGAGGAGAGAGATCACGCAGGCTTCTCACTGGCAAGGTCGAGGGGTCTGGATGCTCCTCTGAAGGTGTGACACAACCATGGACGGGTGGCCCAGTGCTTAGAGCCACTGCAGAGCCTGCCCTTTAACCTTGAGAGAGCCCCTGGGGCCCAGCAGTGTCCGCTCATTGACGCCTGCGAGGGAATCGTCTGGAGCTGCCGCTGCTCCTGAAACTGCTTAGTGCTCTCCTTGCTGGTGGAATCGCAGTGTTCGTGGGAGAGAGTTTTGGTTTTCGCATTTCATTCGTTTTGCTTGAGTATGGTATTGATCTCTCCCTTATTTCTGATGGCAGCTACCTCCTAATCTTTCCGTATCAGACCTCAAGGGCACGTGCTGTCTTCCTGGACGCTCGGCTTTGTGCATAAGCATCAGGGCCAACGGCTCTCCAAGGCAGAGGACAAAAGGGGCACCTTCCCCTGCTCGCCTCCGTCTCGGGCAGAGCCAGAAAGGCAAGGAGCGTGCTCCGTGTTAGGAAGGCCCCTGGCCCCCGAGCCGTTTTCAGCCCAGAGCCACCGCTCTTTCTCCGTCAGCCTAGAGCAAGCTGATTTCCCGGCGTTCGCCCATGTTCAGACTCGGGACCTCACCTGTGCTGGTGCAGAAATGTTCTGGCATCCCGGCCTCGGGCGGCTCCGGCCCACCCTACCCCGCCTTGCCGGAAGACGCCTCCCACCACACAACTTCAGTCCCACTGCCCCCGAGCCCCAGCACCCTCGCTGGCTCCCCGGGAAGCCCAGAGTTAAGAGCTGACTCCTAGTGCCTTATCTGTGTGCTCCCCTCAAACTGCACGTTGGACCGGCTCACCTGTTCCCGAGCCGAGTGCCTTCCTGAGTGCCCGGCCATGGAAATCCTGCCAGTCCCTCCAGGTGTGCTCTGATGGTCTTCATGATCATTCAGCGGACTCCAGGTCCCTACACTGCTTACAGAGGTGGCTGTTGCCCTGCTTGATGGCGCACAGGCGACTCTGAGCCCTTCTCTCTCCACCCCCCACCCCCACCCCATTCCTCTCCTTGCTTCACCTGCCCTGTGGTGGGCGGTCTCAGAGCCTGGAGGCCCTGTGGCCAAGGTCCTTTTGCACCTGTAGACACTCCCCGGGGGGTATTGACGGCAGCGTCCCAGGCATGGAGTCTCCACAACACGGGTGACATCCGGCAGCAGCGGCCCGGGTGCAGAAAGAGAAGCGGTGGCTGATCCATTGTTCAGAAATGGAGAACGCGGCATCTGCTTGGCTAACGTGGTTTTACTTCTGTTTGCTCAGATAGCATCTCGGCATCGAAGATCGTCCCACAGAGTGTTCTGGAGCTCACGAAGACGTCCCTTTTCCCTCACCGTAGTTTACAAAGCGAATGAATTCCTAGAACTGCAAAATATTGACAGGTGCTAGGTATCCAGAGGGACCCGTGATAAAATGTTTGGGAATAGCTGGCCACAAGGGCTCAGCAGTTCAGTGCATTGTTGTTTGTTTTTTAAAGACTGTGTTTATGTGAAAGAGTTACAGAGACAGAGTGAGAGACAGAGAGAGAGAGCTTTCTTCCAGCCACTGGTTCACTCCCCAGATGGCTGCAGCGACCAGGGCTGGGCCAGGCTGAAGTCAGGAGCCAGCAGCTTCCTCTTGTTTCTCCCCTGTGGGTGGGAGCACCCAAGCACTTGGGCCATCTTCCACTGCTTTCTCAGGCACATTAGCAGGGAGCTGGATCAGAAGTGGAACAGCCGGGTCTTGAACCAGTGCCTCCACAGGATGCCGGTGTCGCAGGCAGTGTCCTTACGCACTGCGCCACAGCGCCAACCCCAGTTCAGTGCAGCTTTCAACAGAGGCCTTCCCGGGGCCTGTACTGCCCTGACGTAGGCTGTGGAGCTCCCATGAGGGCGTCGCTGTGTGGTGGATCCGCTGTTATTTCACTCTGGGACTTTGGGTGCACTGGGGACGCCCGGATGGGCCAGCGCTGTCTCCCGGGCCTCTTAGACCAGGGACGCTGCTCGGTTTGGCTGCGGCCTCTGAGTGGTGGGATCAGAGGAGCCTGGCGTCGCGGCAGGGACGGTGCCAGAGACCCCTGAGGATGGAGAGAAGTTCCCTGCACGCCGGCGGGGCCCCGAGCCTGCGGAGCCTTCCCGGGCCGGGCGTCCCCGCCGGAGCGCGCGTTCAGCAGTCAGGGCTGGACAACGCGGACCGCAGATGGCCCGACTGATCCTTACTGCGCGGGTCGCATCCGCTCAGAGCCACCGCGACGCCCCGGGTAACGCCGATGCTCTCTGTCTCCCAGTTCCTTCCGCAGCGGCCGCACTCCGCCCACCCTGCCTGCGTGACTCCCCACGGCACGGTTCTCCACCAGACCCTGGATTTCGACGAGTTCATCCCCCCGCTCCCGCCTCCGCCCTACTACCCTCCCGAGTACACCTGCACGCCCTCGGCCGAGGCCCGGAGGTCGGTCCCCCGGGGAAGCCCAGCAGCGAGCACGGAGCTGCCTGTGAGGGCGGCGGTGGCAGTGGCCCTGCTCACGGGGCGCACGGGGAGCAGAGAGGGGCTTTGGGATGCAGGACGAATGGGGGGCTTGGAGCCAGAACGTTCGCATTAGCGTCTCTGCAGGCGAGAGCAGCCCTGTCTTGTCCTCGCGACACGGTCCCCTGTGAGGCCACAGGCTACAGGCACAACTACGACCACCTACGGGTCATTCCGTCACGTCTAAAACTCCGCTGGCAAGTTCTCCAGCTGTGTGACTGTTGGCATCTTAACGGACAGGGCTGTCTTATCAAAAATGTTGGTGTCTCTCCAGGAAAAAAAAAATCCGAAGTTAAAACTGCGCAGTGAGTTGTTGCACAAACATAAGGAGGACTGTAGGGGGCGCTGGTGGCAGGCGTTCAGGTTGCTTGGAGAGGAATGTTGGCTGGCCCTCCTCCAGGGTGACGTGTCCTGCTTCTGCCTCTGCAGGGGCCTCCACCTGGACTTCACTCCCTCCGCGTTCAGCACCTTGTATGACGTTGCCATCAACAGCCCCGGCCTGCTGTACCCCGCGGAGCTCCCCCCACCCTACGAGGCTGTGGTGGGTCCCAGCCCCTCCAGCCAGGTGAGCCCCGGCCCGACAAGGCCAGTTCCCCTCGTGTCATCGAGAAGCGCTGCTCGGGGCGGGGCTGGGTTGTCTGTGAGGTTAACCTGCCTGACCGCCTGTGCCGAGGTCGGCCAGGTGCGTCCGTGTTACGCCTTTCAGCGAGCCTGGGTGGGGTGGGGTGGGGTGGGGGTGGTCTCAGTCCTTTAGCTAGCTGTACAGGAGACAGAGGGCTCAGGAGTGAGATCTGTGTAGACTCCAGGCCTGGGGGACCCCCGCCATTTCTGCTTTTCCCTTTGGCTGCGTATCTGAGCTGAGTGCTCGGGAACCCGTGCAGGGGGGGCCTGAGATGGCGTCCACCTGTGGGCGGAGCTCCCACAGGCCAGCAGCCCTGGCCTGTCTCAAGCACATGTCGCTGTCCTCATGCCCTGGGCAGCTGAGAAAGCACTTCTGAGCCCTTGGTTCCCTGTGAGGCCACAGGCTACAGGCCAGGTCCTTTCTGAGCTGGGTGTGCCACGCCCTCCTGCAGCCTTGGTCGGTGCCTGATGCATGACAGGTTTACGGAGCCTCAGTTTCCTGATCTGTAAAATGGGGATGATAACAGCAGCCACCCAGGGGATGAGACGTTGTCTGTGATGGACCCCACGTGGTACTGGGATCACAGTAAACACTGAAGCCGGCAAAAGCCAGGTGCCTCTTCTGAGTATTAGGCTCATGGTTGTCACTTCCTTGTCGTCACCGAGTGTGGAGTGGCCCCAGCCAGGGCAGAGAGACGGGAACACCGGGAGAGCTCAGGGCAGGGCTGAGGGAGGCCTGGGAGGCCGCACAGCAGCCTGTGGGGACTGGGGTGGGACACACAGCAGTCACGCGGGAGGCACAGGCCGGGGAGCTGAGGGTGCTGAAAACTGGAGCCGGGGTAATCCTGTGCCCCAAGCACAGCAGAGGACAGGGCACGGAAGCACGACCTGGGGCCCCGGAAGGGCAGTGCCCAGCCTGTCCCGAGATGCACCCGGTTGGCCTCTCGCAGCCATGCAGCTGTGGGGCAGTCGGCGGTCAGATCAGGCCTGATGGGCTGCCTGTGACCTTGACTCCTGTCCAGTGCAGGGCTGAGGGACACATCCCTGCCCCCAGGGGGCCGAGGCTGGCAGCAGTGCCCATCCTGGGTCTGTGGGTGGAGGAGCATCTTCCACGGCAGGTGTGCGAGCCCACGAGATGATGACGGCCACACAGGGGGTGCCTTCCACAGGCCAGGGGTGTGGCACAGGAAGAGGGGGAGATGCACCCTCCTTGTGCCTGGCACAGATGTGAGTAAACTGGGCACCCCGTCGGGGCCACAGTCTGCCACAGGACTCGCCTTCTGGGTGACTGTGGAGCCTTTGCCATCTGCTCCTGTCCCAGGTGGCCCCGAGGGGCTGCAGCCCACAGCCCCAGGGTCTCGGCCAGGGACTGCCGGCCTCTTCCGTGTCCACAGTGGAAACCTGTGAGTGGGACTCGCCCATGAGTGGGGGCCTCCTTAGGGAACAGGCAAAGCGTGCCTGGGAATCTCACCCCTAAACCTCCCAGGGCTGGGGCTGTGCTTGGGGTTTTATTTTAAGCTGAGCAGGGGCCTCCACCTTCCTCATGTGGGTTATCTTCTGTTTATGATACAAATAGTTCAAGTCGGGGTTACCGGGGGCCTCCAGCTCTCTGGCGGGAGCCCAGTGCACAGCGGGCACTTGTTGGGGTGCCAGCCCATATCCTGGGGGTCCAGAAAGGTCTGAGGCAGGCGAGGTGCAGGGGAGAGGGGCGGGGGGGGGGGTGCTCCTGGGAGAGGAAGCAGGCTGTACAAAGGCTAAGAGGGAGGTAGCCAGGAGGGAGGACCTGTCCACCAAACAGGCTGCTCTGGGCAAGTCTCGGGCGGGGGGGCTGTCCTGGTGAGGCTCACTGGGTTCCAAGGGAGCTTCCCCTGGGTGATAGGATCTGTCCTTTAGGGCCTAAGGGAAGGCAAGGTTAGCCAGAGATGGTCACCAGAGCAGGGGAGGGGAGGGGACGCCCAAGGAGAGGGAGAACCCCATGGAATGACGTCACTGCCGTTGGCACAGGAAGGGACCCAGAAGTTCGGGAAGGAATGGTTGGGCCAGGTGCTGCCCAGAGGCTGTGAAGGCAGACCCCCAGGCTCCCTGGGGAGGGGCAGGAGTCGTGGATGGAGCGGAGGGAGGTGTAGCAGGGGTGGGCCGTGGGTTTTAGACTCCAGGGCATCTTCCCCAGTGTTCCCATAGACTTGTCAATCACATCCTGACCATGCGGCCCACCCCCAGGGTGTCAGATTGGTGGCTGGGGGTGGGAGTTGGGCCGTGTTCCAAGAATCTGTGTCTGTGGCAGCGTTCCGGCTCCTGCAGCTGCCCCAGGGACAGCAGGAGAGAGCTGGAGCCCACCACACTGGGCAGATGTTGGGGAGAGGGGAGAGAAGTGGGGGTGTTAGGGCAGGGTGCAGTTGCAGGGCCTTGAGCAGTGTCACCAAGCAGACGCGGAAGGGCCCAACAGAGGGAGGTCCCTTTGGGGAGGCCGGAGGGGAGACTGAAGGCGGGCAGATGGACAGCTCTGCCCTGCCACCAGCGGGGCTCCAGCCTGGGCAGCAGGTGGGCCTGGAACCCAGATGTCTGCAAGATGCAGGACTCTCCATGGGGGGGCAGACAAGTCTGCTGCCGTGCCGGAAGTCCAGCTCCGCGTGGGGACGGACTGTACCCCACATTCCTGCACTTCCTGTGGGAATCCAGAAGGGCTGGTTTGGGGGAGGGATTCGTGATTCCGTGTGCAGGGCCTCGGAGAGCGGCAGCTCTGGGGCCCGCCCCTTTGCTTCCCGTGAGCTGGGTGTTGCAGAGCCACCCACAGCCACACACCAGCCACAGCGCCATCCATGCCGTCCCACTGTTGTACTCTTGCGTGAGGGGTACTGCTCTTGGTACTGCCAACACCAGTTCCAAGCCCTCCGTGACACCCCCCGCCACGACTCTGCCCCGTCTAGAAGCTCGGTACTGCGATCTCGCCCACGGGGTGGCGCTGAGCACGGCTGTGCAGTCAGAGGCTCACTCTTGTAGTCTGCACTGGCGCGGGGTCCTGCAGCTCACCAGTGCGTGCATAGACATCCGCTCGAGCAAGGCCAAGGCAAGCGTGTCTGTGTACATGGCCTTGCTCGGGGCTGCCCCAGCAGGGGCCGCACCTGGTGATCCAGGGGGACCGATGGCCTGGGAGCACGTCCCAGTTCCGCACGTCTGTGGGAGTGTGCACGTCAATGAAACCCATTAGCAAGCGCAATGGGGGTGACTGCATGGCCAGCTGTCCCCTCCCCCGGGGTGCTCACTGCCCCTGCATAGCCGTGGAGGGGCTGCCCCTTCCCAGTATGACCCCTCCCCGGGGCAGGCAGAGGCTCCTCGCTTGTCTTGTTAGGATGAGAGGTGTGTAATTGCCCATCAGCTCTGGTTTGGATGAAGCCCTGTGGGCTGTGCAGACGCGGGAGACGGCCGCTCCCGGGGAACATGGCTTCTACGCGGGAGGAGCACCCGTGATGGGGAATGCTCCTTTTAACCCCTTCACCTGGACGTGTCGGCCACACGCGTGTTCCCTTAGGTTGCTGTGTCATCGTTTTTCCCATGACTCGGGGCTACTTCTCTGCAAGGTCATGGGCAGTGAATGCCACTGTGTAGCAGGAAGGTGGCTGAGACGTGACGGGCAGTTTGACAGTCCTGTTTGGTGACAGATTTAGGCTTCAGGGTTCAGGTAGGACTGAGGGATACAGAACCGGGAATGGGATGGCTTCCCTGCCCCATAGGGCTGACCACCTGCTGGGCGACAGGACAGGGACCAGTGAAATTCTCAGTGCTCCAGGAGACACACCCGGCAGCCTGGACTGGGTCAGGGTGAAGGTCGCCAGCGTGGAGCGCACAGCACGGACCAAGGCCCAGAGTGGGCGGCCAGGAGCCTGGCCTGGGAGCCCCAGGTGCACAAAGGGGGCCCCGACACCGTCCAGGTGCACAGTGCACGGCCGTGGTGCCACTCTGAGAGCTGCCTTTGGAAGGGCTGGCATTCGGGGGGCGTGGCCCAGTGCTGCTGCAGGAACTGTTGATGTGGCAGCGTAAGGATGGACGGGACCCTCGGCACAGGGTAGAAGTTGCAAGAGAGCAGGTGTAGAGAATCCTCAAAGTCTAGATTTCTCTGTTCACCGGAAGTGACCTGATGCTTTAAAATCTGTAAGCAAAAGTGGCTTCAAAAATGGCCTTGAGACACCTGGCTCCCGTTTTCCATGACTGCTGAGGGTTCTGGGGACTGCCCCCCAGAAAACAGCTGCTCATACATCCTGGAGGGGGGTGGATGGTTGACCTCGCCCAGCAGAGGGAAACTTAGCAATGGGGCAGAATTTCCACGCAGGGTCTCTTAGCCACAGAGCCTGCTTTAAAAAAAAGTATGGAGGAAACGCAGTTCCTTTGTCTAAATACCAGTTAATTTTTCAATGTCAGTAACGGCTCAGAACGGCCTGTCTGAGCAGCGGTAGGTCCCAGGCTCAGTCGTTCATGGCGTGGAGTGACCCAGCCTAAGCCCCGCACAGGCCCTGTAGGAGCCAGGGGGCTGTGTCGGTGAGCCTAGATCAAACTTAATGGGAAACGTGGGACCGGAGCGGTTCCCCTCCCCCAGGCATCAGAGAAGGCCAAATGCAAACTAAACCCCTGCCACTCACTAGCGAGAGGCGAGGCATCACGGGCTCCCGTGGCGCTGTCTCTCCTGGAAACCACATTTTCTGAGTCGCAGGGATGTGAGTGACACTTCAGTGAAATAGGAAACGAATGCAGCTTCCTCCTGACCTCGCCCACTGTGTGCTTTATTTAAATGTCTTTATTGCCTGAGGCTTCCTTTCAGATAGCAGGTTTCCAGGTTCCCACCCGGCACCACCCCCTACACACATACACACACACACACACACACACACACGGCCAGGTACGGGAAGAAAGGCAGGGAGTGAAACAGACCTGCAGGGCGCCGTCCTCCATGTGTTGGTTTCCTGGCAGATTCCGGACAGGGATCTCGAAACTTGGTTATTGCACCTGGTGATCCCGGTGGGACAGCAGGGAATGCTGACGCCACAGAGTTCTGCCTCGCTCGGTTCCCTGCCCAGCACGAGCTAGGACATGCAGCATCGTTCTTGGGCACATGCATGGGATCAGAGGAGGTGTTCAGGCAGCTCGGGGTCTCCCGCCTCAGAACCCGCTTTGCGAACCCCAGGCAGGGCGGGGAGGCAGCTCACGCCCCGATCGTGGGTGCAAAGGCTGCAGCCCAAGCCCCTGCCTCCCGCCAGCCTGGTTGAGAGAGGCCACGGGAGGCCCCTGAGCTGCCTGAACGGAAGCGTGATGACCTGAGCTGGAAGCGGACCAAGCCGCAGGCGCCTGCCTCAGCTTCCCCGGCCGCCTCCAGGGCTCGCTGTTTGCAAGCGGGTCCCCAAAGCGGCTCTGAAAGGATGCAAGGGTTCAGACGTTGCTTTTTCAAGCCCACATCAGGGCGTGTGATGGTGGCAATGAATGGGAGGGTGGAGCTCAACGGGACCCATGTGGGGCTGTGGTGCCCTCGGGCAGGGGTCGATCAGCTGTGCCCACCGAAGGGGATGGGGGGGGGGGCGGGAAGGCGGGGGTGGTGGACAGGGCAAGGACAGGGCCTCCTGTCCTCTGAGGCCACTGCAGCCCAGATAGGGGGCCACCCAGGAAGCACGCTGCCCAAACTCAGTGACTGCCCAGCTGCAGGGGACGCCACAGCTTCCCACTGTGGACAGAGTGGCACTGGCAGACCCAGGCCCTGCGCCCAAGCTCAGGAGCCCCTCTGTGAGAGACAATGGGGGAGGGGGCACGCACAAGCTTGGGGCATCTGCGAGCGCACTCTGGTGAGGCCCCATCATCAATTGCCCCATCTGGGTCTCCACTGAGCTGACAGGAAACATGGCGCATCGTTGGACCATTTGCCCCCCGGTGCCTTGTTCTTGGGGTGGGAGCCAGGAGGAGAGATAGCGAAAGAAGGAACTGGGAATTGAGGAGGGGGCTGTCCTGGCCCTGCAGCAACTCTGGAGGGTCCTCTTGGGCCTTTGTGGGCCCCAGCAGTGCCCGTAAGTGGAGGGGAGTAGGCACCGGGTGGTACCGTGGCCCCTGCAGGCACTCTGATTGCAGAAATTCAGGCTTTGGCCTTGGCAAAGGCAACTTCAGCCCTTCCACCCCTACCCCACAAATGAGGGGTCACTCTGTCCGTGTTGCAAGCCGGCCCGAGTTCCGGGGGCTGTTATGTGTCCCGCTGGGGGCCCGCCTTGACGCTGTGTCTCTCGCTGTAGGTTACGAGTGTTGATCACCAGGTGGCCGGGGCTGGCTCCGGGGACCCCAGCATTGCTGCCGGCTTCAGCACACCAGGTAACCTTCCCTCCCCAGCGTGCGAAGTGATGAGCTTGGACTTTTCAAGGTTATCGCCTCTCCCTCTCCCTCCCCCCTCTCCTCCCCTCCCTCCCCTCCCCTCGGCCAGCATCTCAGAGAGGAGCCACCCAGGGTAGCAGAAGCACCAGGACTGTTGTGAGCTCCAGAAGTGACCTGGTCCTTCCCCAGGTCACCCCAAGGAGCCGTTGGAAGCAGTCTGAGAAGTGGTGTCCGGGGACCTCCTCAGGCCTACCCCAGGATGCAGGGTGCCCCAGCGCCCCACACAGGGTGACCATGCTGGCCCTATGTGTTCTTGGGGTGGGTTTTGAGGGCATACGCACCTCCACGCTGCGTGCTCTTCAAGGGCAGAGCCGCCTGGTGACCCTGGCTGTTTGCTGTCTCAGGGCAGGTGGAGACATAGAGGAGTCTCGGGCTCGGCAGGGCCAGGCACTGCCCACTACCCAGGCCCCAGGCAGTGAACTCCGGAGCTTAACCCAGGGGCCCAAGGAAGCTCCCAAGACCCAGACTCCAGGCGTGCGAGATGCCCAGTCCCGAGGGGCTTGGGGGCTGCCGAGAGGCCCTGACCGAGGCTGCTGGGGCAGCAGGCCAAGCGGGTGTGGCTGCGGAAATGACGCGTCTGGCCAGTTAGTTCCTGTGCGGGGCTCAGGTTGAGGTCGGGTCCATTTGCTCACCTGCGTCCATCGCTTGGCTGCAGGCCCTTTGCTGCTCCCTCCGCTTTGTCCAAACTCAGTGGGGCATAATTGTGTGCATCTATTTCTGGCTCTCTAATCTGTCCCGTTGATCCTTGCATCTGTCCCTCTGCCAGCACCACACTGTCATGGTGGCAGAGCTCCGGAGGAAGCCATAACATCAGGAGGGATAATCCCTCCCGCTCTGTTCTTCTTTCTCGAGACAGCTTCAGCTGCTCCTGGGCCTGTGCCTTTCCATCTACATTTTTAGAACCGGCTCATCTGTCTTCAAAGCCCCTTGCTGGGATTTGGATAAGAATTGCGCCAAACCCACAGAGCAATCCGGAGAGAATTCACTTCTTTCCCGTGCCGAGCCTTCCTTCAAATGCATGGGCAGAGTGCGGTAGGCCCCTCACCCACAGCTCTGCTTTCCACAGTGTCAGCTCCCTGCTGTCAGCTGTGCTTTGAAAATATCAAATGGAAAGTTCTAGAAATAAACAACGCATGGGTTTCAAATAGTCTGTCATCCTGCCCTGTCCTGCCTAGAGCCTGGCTCATCCCTGTATCCATTGCCCACCTATTAGGCACTTGGTGGCCTTCCTGGTTATCAGATCAGATGGTTCCTTGTCTTCAAATCTTATTTATTTGAAAGGCAGAGACAGAGACAGAAGTCTCCATCTCCCATCCACTGGTTCACTCCCTAAATGCCTCCAGTGTCTGGGACTAGGCCAGGCCTAAGTCAGGAGCCAGGAGCTCAGTCTGGGTCTCCCACAAATGGGTGACAGGGACCCAAGTCCCCGAGCCATCATCTCCCGCCTCCCGAGGTCTGCCTTAGCAGGGAGCTGGCGTGGAGAGGAGAGCTGGCTTTTGAACCGGGCCCTGTAATAAGGGACACAGGCTTGCCAAGCGGCGCCTTAACGGCTGTGCCACATGCCCACCTGGGTCCCAGTGCTTCTGCCCAACTCACCTTTATTTCACTTGATAATGACCTCAGAGTACAGCAGTAGTGACACTGGAGATCAGATAAGGCAAGGAGAAGCCGTAGCATGCTTCTCAGTATCATCTCACGTCGTCACGAGAAAGGTGAGTGCAGTGTAATAAAATATTTTGAGAAAGACCGCATTCATAGAACTTTTATTACAGTGTAATTGTTCTGTTAGTTATTGGAGTTTCTTACTGTGCCTGATTTATAAACAAGCTTTATCATTAATAAATATATAGGGGGAAAAAAGTATAGGAGAAAAAAGTGCATATAGGGTTTGTTACCATCTGGGATTTCGGGCATCCACTGGGGTTCCCCGTTGGGCCGGGGGGACTTCTGTATGTTGCTCCATTCATTTGGGTCTTCCTTGATTTCTTTCCTCTCTGTCATCATTCTGTGTTGTGACTGTAGCAGTAGATTCCAGTTTGTTTCCCATACATGTAAATAACACAGTAGTAATGTAGAGCTGGCACAACCTCTGGGAAGCCGCCACCCATAGACTGGCAGCTTAGAAGTTAGCCCGTGTTTACGGCTCTTCATCCAAATTCCTTCCCAAGAACGTTTGCACCGTTAGATGTGGCGATTCACTTCTGCAGCCACCGTAGGGAAGTGATGTTGAAAAAGAGAACTCTCAGGGCTGTGTTGCACAGTGGGTTAAGCTCCTCCCATACTGGGGCGCCAGTTCAGGTCCCAGGCCCTCTGCTTCGGTCCTGGCCCCCTGTTAACGCGCCTGGGAAGGAAGTGGATGGTGGCCTGTTGCATACGCTAAGTACATTATCGTGTGTTAGTTGAGCAAAATGCTTGTGAGCTTTCAGGTGAAAAACTGCAAGTCCCCCGGGATTATGACACCATGGCCCAGAGTGGAGTTATGCACAATAAGTTCCTAGTCCTGGACCAGGTACTTTGTAATGTTTTTTTTTTTTTAATTTAATTTATTTTTTTTGACAGGCAGAGTGGACAGTGAGAGAGAGAGACAGGGAGAAAGGTCTTCCTTTGCCGTTGGTTCACCCTCCAATGGCCGCCATGGCCGGCGCTGTGCAGCCGGCACACCGTGCTGATCCGAAGGCAGGAGCCAGGTGCTTCTCCTGGTCTCCCATGCGGGTGCAGGGCCCAAGCACTTGGGCCATCCTCCACTGCACTCCTGGGCCACAGCAGAGAGCTGGCCTGGAAGAGGGGCAACCGGGACAGAATCCAGCACCCCGACCGGGACTAGAACCCGGTGTGCTGGCGCCGCAAGGTGGAGGATTAGCCTAGTGAGCCGCGGCGCCGGCCACTTTGTAATGTTGTGCTAATTTTACAAGTGTTTGTCGGTTATACATGTGCAGAGCCAAGTTAGAAGCTCAGTCTTTGGATCATCACTGACATTGAGGAAACTGAGGCAGGCTGGAAGCCGGCTAAGATGCTTGCACTGATGCCCACGTCGGAGTGCCTGGGTTCAGCTCCCAGCTCCTATTCCCAATTCCAGCTTCCTGCTAATGCAGTCCTGGGCGGCAGCAGCGATGGCATGGAGACCGGAATTGACTTCCCAGTTTTCAGCTTCTGCCCAGCCCTGGCTGTGGTGGGAGCCCTTTGCTGTCTGTCTCTCTCTCTTACAAATAAATTGGGATCAAGAGGAATCAGCAGAAGTAAAAACATTCAAAATATTTTTATAAAGATTTTATTTATTTGAGAGGTAGAGTTACAGAAGAGAGAGGGAGACAGAACAATCTTCCATCTGCTGGTTCACTCCCCACATGGCTGCAATGTCTGGAGCTGGGCCAGTCTGCAGTCAGAAGCTAGAAGTTTCTTCCAGGAGCACAAACGGGTACAGGGGCCAAACACTTAGGCCATCTTCCACTGCTTTCCTAGGCCATCAGCGGAGAGCTGGATCAGAAGAGGAGCAGCCAGGACTCGAACTGGTGCCCATATGGGATGCCGGCAATGCAGGCAGAGGCTTAGCCTAGTATACCACAACACCAGCTCCTCAAAATAATTTGAATACGCTGTCGTGTGATGCTCTGGGGTATAACTGTAATCCGCTCTGGATGGAGGTAGTGCTGGTAGCCTCTGCAGGTGAGGCCTGTAATGATGGGCTGTCCTCGTTTCTTTCCACGCCGTGGCGGGCAGCACGTTTCCCGTGTGGTGTTTCTGCTGCCTGCCTCAGCAGCCTGGTGCTGTAGAAAAGTTTACCCTGAGTTCCTGCGCCTTTTCTCCGCTCCAAGGTGGTCGATTTATTCTCCAGTGTGGTCCAGGCTACTTTTCTGGTGTCTTGAGAAAGGATTCATGAACCTGAAAAGCTTTTCTGCCCTGGACGTGTGAAGAACTGTTGTTGTTCTCGCAGTTTTCCGAATGGGCACCTGTCATTCTAAGCTGTGTTCCGAGGGGGCCGCGGCAGACCCTGCAGGGCGGCTCTAAGAGGCTCTGCAGTCTCCCAGCCTCTTCCCCCACTTGGTGGCCGTGTGGCCCTCTCCCTCTCCGCTCATTTCCTAGCCGTGGGATGAGGCTGACCTGGGGTCAGTCCCTGGGCAGACACTCAGATTAAGGGGCAGGTGGGCCAGAAGCTTTAGTGTGGGGCAAGCCCACGGATGCTGGGAGCCCATGGACACGGGAGGGCCTCCCACAGGTTCCCGGCCAGGACCCACACAGGGCATGGGAGGCAGACGCTACAGCCTGCTGTCTGGAGGAGTTCAGGCAACGGTGACTCCAATATCCCCTCCCAGACCGTGCCCTGTGCAGCGTGCACCCCACACCTGGAGGGAACTCTGAGAGTGTAGAGAGCAGGGCCTCCCAAGCCTTAGTGCACCCCCGTCCCTGGGACGCCAGCGGGGAGTGGCGAGGGGCTGGCATCACTCCCAGCTGAGTGGGCATCTGAGCATGCTCAGACCCCAGGGTTGGGCCCGTGATGGGTTGGCCTTGGAGCTTGAGTTTCTGGTTTGTTCCCAGGTGAAGTTCTTACTGCTGGCCTGGGGCCCACACATGGAGAACCAAGACGGGCATTTCTCGGGCTGGTCAGGGACAGTACTGCCAGTCCTGGTAGCAGCAGCCATCTGTGGCTATAGATCCTCAGGCCCCGTGGGACCTCGCACCCTAGCCAGGTGTCCCTCAGAGTCCTCGTCCCTCCCTGCTCATTAAGAATCCTTGTGAGAGGGGCCGGCACCATGGCTTACTTGGTTAATCCTCTGCCTGCGGCGCCGGCATCCCATATGGGCGCTGGGTTCTAGTCCCGGTCGGGGCTCCTCTTCCAGTCCAGCTCTCTGCTGTGGCCCAGGAGGGCAGTGGAGAATGGCTCAAATGCTTGGGCCCTGCACCCACATGGGAGACTAGGAAGAAGCTCCTGGCTCCTGGCTTTGGATCAGCACAGCATTGGCCTTAGCGGCCATTTGGGGAGTGAACCAATGGAAGGAAGACCTTTCTCTCTCTCTGTCTATAACTCTGTCAAATTAAAAAAAAATCCTTGTGAGCAAGGAACCCCCTTCGGGACAATTCTCTGGAAAGCGTCTGCCTGGGCTCACAATGGCACGCAGTGGCACATTTCTGCACCCTGTGATGTCACAGTTTATCTAAGCGTGAGGTTTGCAGGGCAGGTGCTCCACCCACGTCAAGGGGGCCTGTGGCCACCAGCCCTAACACTGTGCCCCTTCTCTTGCAGTGCCAGCCACCAGTGTGAGCCTCCCAGCATCAGAGGGTGCCACTGGGCCGGGTCCAAGCCACCCGTCCCCTGAGGGCCCCCCAGGCACCCTGCTATCCCCACCTCCAACCCCGCACCTCCGCCATGCGCCCCACGAGGCTCCTGCTCCGGGAACCTGGGTGGTGCCAGGTTCCGCCCACATGGCCCGCTCCACCAGTGACCCCACCTCGTGTGCGTCTAGTTCAGCAGGTATGGTGCCCCAGGCTGTGTCTGGCTTGCCAGGTCTCAGTGACCCGAGAGTGAGGTCACCTTGGGAATGTGGCCTTTGTGTCTGAAGCCCTTGTGCCAGGTGCCACTCTGGGTGTGAGGTGTAGGTGACGGGAGTTCACCCACTGGGTGCTCAGCCTGCACCAGCAGTTAGCTGTGAATGAGGCACACCTGCTCCAGGGCCCATGCAGGGCTGAGGTCAGGCACAGAGCATGTGACCTCAGTGCGAGGTGGGGCAGTGCCCTGGGCTGTAGGGCCTGCCACTCATGTCCCTGGGGCCAGCAGCCTGGGAATGCACATTTCATGCCAACTTCCCTGAGAGGCTGTGCATTCCCCGGCTGGAGAACCCTGGCCCCATCCTTGCTGTACTGGTGGTGGGGCTGGGGGTGTATGGTTTCTGCCAGTGGAGATCAGTGGGCCTGGGGCTTTATCGCAGAGCAGGCCCAGGCAGTACCTGGACCTGTCTCGCCACAGTGGGGTCGTCCTGCTGAACCCCAGTTATGCAGACCGGAGCAGGGCCTGCCCTGCTCCCGGTGCTGCCTCTGGTTCAGCGCCCGTGCCCAGTGCTCCACATCCCTGAGCGGATGTGGGAAGCAGCAAAATCGAGAGGGCCTGGCAGCGCCTGGTTTCACACCTGCAGGCCGGCTGCCTCCCGTCGCCTACCACGTGCCATGTGGGTCACGGGGAAAGTTGCATTCGAGGCTCCTGGAAACACCCAGTGCCCCCCGGTAGATCCAGGGCAGGACCTCCACCGTTCAGGTCCACCCCTGAGGTCTGCAGGAGGAGCCCATGCCCTGGCAGGTGCTCAGAGATCAGCTCAGCACCCCCTCCCCTGCCGTGGCTCTCTGTGGCCTGCAACCCCTCAGTGAAGTCAGTGTTCCGTCAGCCCTGGCATTCGAGAGACAGAGACGGAGGCAGGAGGCAGCCCTGGGCCTTTCTGTCCTGCGCTACAGCCGGTGGCCTCTGCCTTCTCTCCACCAGGGGAGGTAGTAGCTGGTTCCCGTCTGCACGTGATGGCCATGCCCCTGGGGTCCCCAGAGGACCTCAGGTGCAGACGGGCATTGTGATGCCAGGACCTGGGCATGACTGAGGCCCGGCCCACGGCATGGAGCCCACATGGAGTTGACCAGCTGCGGGGAGATGCACCTGCTGGATCAGTTTCCTGCTGCTGCCTGTGTCTCAGCCGCCGGCTGGTTTAGATGGCTCCATTAGCCCTTGCTTCTCCCTTGTCAAGTGGTAACTGGATTCTTTCCGGTTCAGGGGATGCCTCGTCACACACGCCCTCGTGCAGTCAGGACCTGGAAGCTGGACTGTCTCGCGCTGCTCCAGGCACTGGTGAGAGCGCCTCATTAGAGCGTGTGTCCACACGCCGGCGGGGAAGTGGGGGTGGAGGAGCACCTGAGGGGGGCCTCCCTTAATTCACCCCATGACATTGGGGGTGTATTGGCCACCATGGGCGTTTTTCTCACTGCCATGAAAAGCCCCCACAATGGACCACTGAGAACGTGTCTGATCTGAGTGACTTGGGACCCAGGTTGGGCAGGTCGGGGCTCCAGTGCACCTGCAGCTCACTCTCCCAGGGGTGCTTCAGGGCAGCGCTCAGCCCTGAAGAGAGCAAGAGCCATTTCCCAGCCCCCGCAGGTGGGCAGTGGAGGCGGGGCCCTGGGCGGTGGCTGCCAATCCCAGCTGCCTGGGAGAGGGCCTCTCACTCCTGCCTGCTCTGGTCCAAGGGCAGATTCCATCCCCTCTGGGCACAGGTCCTGGCACCAGGGCAGGCTGAGGGCGTGTTCTGGTTAGCTGGGGATGCTTGCCACCTGCAGACAGGTCCCCTCGCCCACCCCCCGCCTCTGCCCTGCTCCCGGTGCTGCCTCTGGTTCAGCGCCCTTGCCCAGTGCTCCAGCGACTGCACCAGACCCCAGCTGTGCCCAGGGCCAGGAGGGGACAAAGACACCCGGGGAAGCAGGGCATACTCTGACGCCAGCCCCGAAACACAGGACACCTGCCAGAAAGCTTGCCCCCACCATGTTTTCCTAAGAGGTGATTTAACAACCGCCCTTGGTTTTGTTTGTCGCCGTCTTCCAATTGCCTTTTCTCCCTTGATTTTCAGTCTCCACATCTCGCTCTGCCATGGCCGCCCGCCAGCACCAGCTGTCACCACTCGGGGACACCTGCCACATCAGCCAGCAGCTAAAGCCAGCGGCCTTAGAGACAGTCTCCAAGGAGAGGCCACGCTCTTTAGTGGACAGCAAGGCCTATGCAGACACCACCAGGGTTTTGGTGGCTAAGTTTCTGGAACATTCTCACTGCGCCCTCCCCCCCGAGGTGCGGCACGTGGTGGGCACCATTCGGTCAGTGGTCCCCTCTGAGGAGCACCCCGTGGAGGAGGCCGTCCTCAGTGCCAGTGTCCTGGACCAGCTGTGAAGACGCCGCAGGTCTGCACCGGGCCCCCAGCAGCCTGGCGCCATGCATGGGCTGTTCCCGCAGAAGCCTCTGTGCTCGATGGGGGACATCGGGGGACATCCGGGAGCGTCCCTGGGGTCTCGGGCCAGGAACAGTTGCTCCTGCTCTCAAGGTGGATGCAGTCCCTGGTCTTCTGGGGATGCCACGTCCCACCTGTCGGAGGAACTCCAGCGCTGGTTCTCGCACATCCGTGGTGAACTCTGGTTTCGACGGGCGTTGTAGCACCTTGAACCTGCCAGCGTCACGTGGATACAGTGACTTAGAGGACACCGAGCACCTTCCAAATCAGGGCCATGAACAGCAGGCTCGCTCCACCCCCGCTTCCTGTTGAATGGATGGAGGGTGTCCTTGGTGGGACCCCGCCTCACGTGGTTGGTGTGGCCCTGGAACCAAACCCTCATCGGATTCGAGCCCATGGCCTTGAGTAGGAAGTAGGTGGTTTCAACACAGTTGGCCCACAGGGCTGGTGTGCAAACATGCAGCGAGGATCTGGGGGGAGCAGGCAGGGCCACAAGGGCCTTGAGGAGCCTGCCAGCTCTCCCCACACTTGACACCCCCCCCCAAGCCAGGCTTCCCTCACTGTCTCCACAGCCCCCAAGCCTCTAACAGACACTTTCTAGTTGTTTGTCCCAGAACTGAGCACTCCTCACCAGCCCTTTTGGGTTTTTCCCCAGCATCTGACCTCACCTGCTGTGCCGAGGTCTGGGGACAGAGGCTCGCTGCCATGGGACAAGTATGCCTGCTGAGAAAGCAGGTGCATCTGGGTACCAGATGCAGCGGGGCACCACGGATTAGAGAAAACGCCCACTGTGCTGGTGGTGCAGAAGCAGGCAAGTCTGGCTGGTTTGTGGCGCAGGCGTCCGTGGGCCACTTGGGTGCCTTGGACTTTCTCCATCGCCCCCTCCCCTGCATTGCCTTGTAACTCGGCAGCATCCGTGGCAGCTGCTTCCCAACCCTGGCCCGAGAGCCGCACCTCCATGGGAACCTCCTACAGGGATGGACCCGCCTGTCTCTGGGCTGTCCACAACATCAGCTGCTGGCACGAGGGGCTGTCGAGCCCCCATGGACTGGAGTGGGGGTGCCCACCACTGCCTGACGTCCAGCAGTTCCTGCTGCCCTTCTCTCTGCCCTACATAACCTGTGCCTGGCCTGGAGCGCCGTCTCAAGCCCTCTGGCCCAGCCCCACTGCAGCCAAGGAACTGGGCGCTTCTGTGCGGTTGGAAGCTGGCGGGGGTGGGGGTGGCGCTACAACGGGTGGGGGCTCCATCCCACGTGCCCAGGGCAGCGGCCACAGGTTGCTTTTCTCATGATTTTGGTCATTGCCTCCCCCGAGGGCAGAGAGCTGCAAAATACAAATGTGACCTTCTGGTGACAACCTTGGCTTTTCCACAGAGCCACCCCAGAGATGGGTTCGTGAACAGCTGTTTAGGCTGTGAACAGGAAATCTGTTTGCTAATCCTACAGGCGAGGGCTGTGGCGCTCCCACAAGCAAGCCCCTCTGCAGGTAGAGTTAGCTGATGGTCTTCCAGATGGGCCACCGGGACGGTGAGCGATGTGTTAACACCTGGCCTGCAGTCCCGGATGAGCCCAGTGCACAGGCCCAGCCAGGGGTCTGAGGCCTTGGGGAGAGGGGCCACACTCGGAGGTGGGGGGACCTGCAGGAGCATCCCACGCTGGGCTGTACCGGCAGACCACAGACCTGGCTGCCCTCTGAGTGACCCAAGCCACGAGGCCTGTCCAATGTGCAGCCTCTGGACAAGCCAGCCTGGTACCCCGTGTCTTGTCGGCCACGTGGGCTCCTGCCAGGCTATGGTCCAGAGCCTTCCCCCCTAGTTGACCCCACGTGCTCTGCCATCCACATGCCGTTCACACTCAGTTCTGCATGTGCCCGCATGGCAGCTCTGTCCTGTGGATGAGGAAATGGTACCCAACTCTGTGCCACTGGGCCACTGCCCTCTCCTAGAAGTAAGGCCGCGAGGGGCGAGGGTCCTCCTCGGCCACCTGCTCAGGGCCCCAGGCTTCCAGAGGAGAGCGGTGCTGGTTAGAGTCGCTTGGGCCCACAGGGCTCCTGGCCCAGGGGAAAGCTGGCTGCTTCTTCCTGCCACAGCATCCCTCCCCCGGGGCCTCTTCCCAGGCTCCCACTGGTTGGCTCTGAAACAGGCCTGGCGTGGCCGACTTGGAGGTGACTCCCTCCAGCCTAGCCAGATACCGGGTGCTCTCTCTGCTCTGTCCCCTGCACCTACCGAGACATCCTAGGGCCCAGAGGATGGCCGGAGTGGGGGGCCCGCTCTGGACCCCAGATGTGTATGGCCAGCAAGCTGTGGACACCGTTCACAAGGACTTAAGGTCCCCTTCAGCTGGCGAGGATGATATAAACTGAGCGCTGGGGACAACCCGTGTGACAGAACACCGACTTCAGGCGGAGACCAGCAGAATGTACAGGAAAACTGTCTGCCAGGCCCCGGGGACTGTTTGTACAACAGGAGAGGCTGTATTTATTTAATGTACCTCAAGGTGTTTTAATAACGATCAGTGTTTTAATAAAAAGTATTTCTGGCCTCTGTGTCTCTGAAGTCAAATTGGGTCAGAGACAGGCAGGGGTGGGAGGGTCCTGGGCCAGCTGGGAGTGGGAGACAGAGTCTCTGTACTTCCTGGGGGGCGCCCTGGAGAAGAGGGAGGGGGCAGGTCTCACAAGCACTGGCCCACAGCCGGACCCCGTGGCTGTGACCCCCAAGGGCTTCTGGGACCCAGTGGCTCAAGGTTTTAATTCTGGTTCCATCACTTGGGGCTAAGAATTAAGTTGTCACTTGGGATGCGGCATCCGGTTAGAGTTTGAATGTTCTGTATCTGGGCTTTTCAACCCAGCCTCCTGGGAGGCAGCAAGCGATGGCTCAAGTACTCGGGTCCCTGCCACCCACGGGGGAGACTCAGCTGGAACCCCGCCCAGCCCTAGCTGCTGTGGGCATCTGGGGAATGAACCAATGAACAGAAGTTCGTTTGTTCACTCACTGTCACAAAAGAGGACCATTTGCAGGGGGTGCTGCCCCCCGTCACCTGCTAGCCATGTTCCCCGTGGATTCCAGGCTGGGGTCGTTCCCTCTAGCTTCTTCTCAAGTAACATTTCATTTCAGTCCCTGGGAACGTGGGCCTTCGTTTCTGCTGAAGAACTGAGAGCAGAATAAAATTCTTTGCCGAGGGGGAGGGAGGGAGGGAGGGAGGGAGGGAGGGAGACGAGCTGGGGGGGGGGCGTTTCCTACCCATGCATCTGCCATCTACTGTGCACGCTGAGAAAAGAAAGGCCTGGAGCTCGCTTCCAGAGCCCGAGCCTGCCAGTGGCCAGGACAGAGTGGAAATGAGCACTCGGGGGGACAAGCGGCGTCCTCGCTCTGCAGCTCCCTGGCCACAGGGGAGGGGTTTTACTTGTTCAAGGTCCCTGGGCCTATAATGCAGGAACCCCCTGCCTGACACTCCCTGCATGCCTCCTGCCCAAAGTCCCTGTTGACCCCATGGCCTCCCCACCCCCCAGTGACACGATCCCAGAGACAGACTTGGGCAAGCGTCTGTTACACACACCCCCTGCCCCACAGCACACACCTCTGCTGGAAGCCACGGGGGTTTAAATCTGGAGACGTCCAAGGTGCCAGGGCTTCCTATTCCATCAGCCTGTTCCGTCTGCCTGGCCTCCCCAGGGCTGGTGGAGGTTCACAAGGCCAGGCCCCTGTCCTGTCACCGTCACCACACCACCAGCGGCTGCACGCCCTGCCCCCCTCCGCCGCCTGGGGCACCTGCTGACCACAGCAGCCACTCTGCAACCTTGAAGGGGAGGGCTCCCAGACCGGAAGGATTGCTCTCACCTCCCCACTGGAGCGTGGAGATTCCAGGATAGCCGGGCCTCGCTGCGGAGGGAACAAACCAGCCACACGGCACACTTTTCGTCATGATTCCGTTTATTAGTGATATGCGTGACGTCTTCTAAGCTCAGCTGCATGCAACACACAGGTTACTCCTTGAATACAGTAATTCTAAAGCTCGAGTTACTGCGTGGTAAGGCTTCTTAAAGTCACAGTGTATTTCTTCGAGGCCTGGGCCAAAAAAAAAAAAAAAAAAGACTTCCGGACAAAATGACGTCAGTTGAACATGGATCTCTAAGGAGCTGCACTAGACGATGTCCTGGACCTACACGCGTGCTAACACTGCTCACGGCGGGGGCGCGCCTCGCTGGACAGGTCATCCGCGCTCACCCATGGCTGCCCCGTGAAGGGCAGAGGTCGGGTTTCCTAAGTGTGGGTTCTGTTTTGGGGGGGAAGGGGCAGCAGGTGTGTGTGTGTAGATTCTAACAAAGGGGCAGAGCCCTCCCCACCCCGCCCCCCAGTGATGAGCACGGTCCCACCTGGTACAGAAGCCCTGCGTGGAGCAGCAGCTTGGAGAGAGGAGCCCAGGTATGTTCTCAGAGACTCCCTGGGGAAGCAGGCGTGGTCCCAGGTCACTGACAAACCCCTAAAGTCCGAAGAACGGATTGCCGAAACCAAAGTCCAAGTGGTAGCAGTTTCTAAATAAATATGGAGTTTTGACGTGGTGGCCATGGTCCTTTATTAACCCCGGAACACCGCCTTTCTCAGCAAATACTTACATCACATATTCCCCCAGCGGTCCTACGAGCCACATCCTGGGTGTGGGCTGCCCGCCTTCCCGCACAGCCAGCCGCAGGACCCCAGCCGTGGCAGGAGGGAGCTGCCCCCGCCCCGGGGGGGCCGTCTCCCGCAGGGGCCTCCCCTCCCAGCCACGTGGGCGGGCGTCCAGGTTTGCACTCTGCAGCTTCGGGGAGGAAAGACGTGCACTGCACCCCACACACAGGTCAACACTCCTTGTCCGGCACAACGAGCAAACGGGTCAGAACGTGGCAAAACACTGGACAGTCCTACAGAGGCTTCTTCCTGCGCCTCTCCCAGGATCAACACATACCCCTTTTGGCAGAACAGTAAAAGTTGGGGGTGGGGGGGTGGGGTCAGGGATCAGGTCCTCGTCCCCCGGCCCCTGCGGTCCTAGGCGTCCCCGGCATCCTGGCTGTGCGGTGCAGGCTGCTGGGCCTAGATGTACAGTGGGGTCTCCTGGCCGGTGAGGAGCCTGAACATGGCGGCGGGCATGGTCTTCATGTGGATCTGTGGGCAGAGAGGGATGGGGGGCTGAGCCCAGCAAGCGGAGGGGACACCCAGCCTGCACACCAGGTCAAGTGCCAGTTCTCAGGCGCAGAGCCCACGGCAGGCGTCGGCTCCCCAAGCCCGGGCCACACAGCGTGGACTTTGCCAGCTGAGGCCAGCAGCTGAGTTCACTCACCCCGCCCAGGGCCAATAAACTGGGGTGAGGAGGGGACGCAGAGGTAAGACCCATCCTGCATATTCCATGTGGCCACGGCGAGGGGCAAGTGCTCCAGAACCCCAGCCTTTGGGGCCTGGCCTCCCTCCCTGGCTTCCAAGGAGCCCTCCCTAGGGAGCCAAGCCTGGTCCCTGGAGGGCACAGGGAAGACAGCACCGGGTGCAGAGAGAAGGTGGTCCCACTGCCCTGCTTCCCCCTTACTCAGCTCTGGGCTCCAGGACGCGCCTGCTCTCAACGTCTGTCCCCACCCACGTCACACACCCACCGCCTCTGTGTAGGCGCAGCCTTGGCTCTGAGGGGGCTGGGAGCCTCCCCCCTCCCTCGCAGCCAGCAAGAGGTTGCCAGGGGCTACAGCAGCCCCTGGGGTCTGCCCTGACTCAGGTGTGGGGTCCTGGCAAGCACAAGGGTCCGGCCCCGCCCCCACCCCCAGCCGGTCCAGGGGCTTCCCTTTCTGCTCCTGCCTGGCCCCAGGAGAGCTTTCCCATCCAGAGGCCCCGCCTCACCAGGTCATCGCTCTGAACCCGCCCCAGGCTGGGGTCTGTGTCTCTCACCGAAACGAAGGGGCAGGCAGACCCCCGCCATCTCCCGCACCAGCCCCCAGGTCTGAGGGGGAAGCATCCACACGCTGCCCCGCGCCGCAGTGGGGGCCTCGGGGGTGAGGTGGGCGCGCCGTAGGGGCCACCCTTCTGACTTCTGTTTGGGAAGACTGGGGCTGCCCTTCTTGGAAGCTGTTTGTCGAAGGAGGCTAATGGCGCCCAGCTCCAAGCTGCCTGCCGGCCGCAGCAGCCTCAACCAACGCCGGCCCCTGACCTGGCCAGGAGACGCAGCCGGGGTGGGGGGGCCTGGGAGCAGCAGCCGCACCCCACCTCCACACCTCAGCCCGCAGAGCTGAATACAGGAGCCCTTCCATAGCCACACATGCCCGACACACCACGGGACCCACTGAAAAATACCCCCAAACCCCCACACAACCTGAAGCATTCCTGATGCACACCCCAAACCACCCTGCCACAAGCCCTCACACCTGACTCCCCAACACACCCCCCACACCTGACACCAGGACACACACCTGACACAAATCCTACACAGACCTGACATCTCAACACACGCCCTACATACCTGACACCCTAACACACGCCCCACACCTGACACCTGGACACACACCTGACACCCCTACACAGGTCTGACACACACCTGACACCCCCCACATATCTGATACCCCAATACAAGTTCTACACAGACCTGACATCTCAACACATGCCCTACACCTGACACCTGGACACATACCTGACACCCCTACGCAGGTTTGACACACACCTGACACCCTACACAAGTCCTACACACACCTGACAGCCTGAAATATGCCCTACACACACCTGACACCCCCACTCACAGCTGACACCCCGACACAAGTCCTACGCAGACCTGACACCTCAACACATCCCCAACACATTACATACACCCAACACACATCCTACACACACCCTGAAACATCCCCTACAACATACCTGGTAGATCCAACACACCCAGACACACCCCACACATGCCCTCTGCACACATGCTCCAGGTAGGATGTCATATCTACACACAAGCTACGCAAAACCTACATACTTAGATACCAACTCTTTCATACCCTCACACACAAACTCACACCCCTATACTCACACACCTATACCCAGACCGTCACACAAACACCCACGCTGGCACATACACACACTCATGCACCCACTGGTACACCTGACACTTGCCCCTCCAACAATCCACTCACATCCATACACTTTTACCCACGTTCACACAGCCACACACACCCCTACCCCCACCTTGCTGGGTGTGCCCTGAGTTCTCCCTACCCTGTGCCTGTGCCCTCCTGCGCTCCTCCATCCTCAAGCCAGAGGGAACCAGACTGGGGGAGGTTAGAAGCCAGGGAAGCGGGAAAGGCCCAGCCACCCCGCCCTGGGCACAGGCAGAGCGGGGAACCCACTGTGTGGTACCTGGAGCCTCGGGCCTGGGCGGGGCTGGGCCTGAGGGGGCTAGGTGCCCAAGCTGGGCAGGCTGGGTCCAGGTTCAGAAACAAGAGGCTAAGGGGCCCCACCCCGGGATTCAGCTGCAACGGGACAGCGCAGCGCCACCTGCCGGTCTGCCCATCCCAGACACACAGGCACTCCCTGGAGAGGAGACAGCTCAGCTGATGTCCTCCCCACCCCCTCCCCCAGCGGCAGGGCATCCCACAGGGGTCAAGGTGGGGGGGACACACCCAAGGTCTCGGCAGGAAGGGGTTCTCCGGAGGCAGCCGGCGGCTTTCTCAAGCACAGGGCGTGGCCCCCTGGGGCGAGATGCTGGTCACGGAAGATGCCCAGAAGTCCCCGCGTCAGCTTACCTCTCCCACCGAGTTGGACAGGGCTTGCACTATCTTCTCATGAGCTGTGGCCACCACGCTCTGCCCGTTGATCTCGATGATGCGGTGGCCCACGCGGACGCCGCCTCGCTCCGCGATGCCCCCTCTCATGAGGCTGCAGATCTGAGCAGACAGAGCCAGGTCAGCACGCAGGCTCCCACCTCGCGGCGGGCACTCAGTCAAGGCCCCGAGGTGGCTGGCTGCATGTGTGGTGTCTGTGCCTCAGAGCCCTGGGGTCCCATGGTGGCATGTTCCCCCCTCCCCAGCCATCCAGGAGCCTCTGCTCCTAGTGGAGGGCTGGGGGCCACCGAGTGCACCACAGAACATTCTGGATACTTCTCCACCTGCTGCACTCTGTGGCAGCCTCAGCAGGTGTTTGGGGCAGGGACAGGGAAGCCTCTGCCAATGACAACATTCTGAGAGCCAAGGCATTGGAAACAGCAGCTCCGGGAGGGCAAGGGCTGTGGGCTCACGGAGGGGGAAGGGGCGGCACCCAGGACGAGCGCCGAAGTGAGGGCGCTGCAGTTGGAAGAAGAGCTGAGCCCCGGCTGGCACTGGGGGGTGGGCGGGGCAGAGGAGGTGCACGTGGGCCATGTGATTGGTGAGTTTTGCCTTGACACAAACCCCCTGGGCCTTTGCAAACTGGCCACGTGCGAGGGGATCCTGGCGCGGCGCCCACAGCCCACCCCTCCCCACACTCAGGGGCCCCGCCTTTCTGGAAGAGGACGTAAGGTGTGGCTGGTGGCACAGAGGCGTGTGACGTCACAGCAGCAGAGCCGGCTCCCACGCCAGAGTCCCCGCGGTCCAAAGAGCAGCAGCACACGCTCCATGGGACGCAGCCTCGGTTCCCCTGACGGCCACGTGTGCTACATGTGCCTGGGGCTGCACTGGCATCTGTCCCTGTCCCGGATGTGAGGGCTCTGTGACACAGGTCACTGGCTCTTTGAAGGCACAAAGGAGGGTGTTGGGGTGGCCTGGCCAGAATCTTCCTTAGAAAGTGCTGTGTGGACGACACTGCTGGTGCCTGCTGCCCAGGAAAGCCCAAGCCAGACCATCACGATGGGAGGAGGAGGACAGGGGGTCAAAGTGGGCTTGGGCTGCTGGGGGGGGGGGAGGGCGAACCCAGACCCTGGCCCGTGAGTGGCGGGAATCTGGGGGCAGGCTAGTGATGGGGCAGGGAGGAGGACCTCGCACACACAGGTCACCCGCCCAGCCGAGGGTGGCCCTGCCGCCATCGAGTCCTTGGTGTCCTAACCGGCGGGGCGCACCTCGCGGGCGGAAGCTGCAGATTTCTTGAAGAGAAAGGGGGGCGGATTTGGAGGCAGCTGTAATTGGGTCACGCGGGGCCTTGTGTGCGGATGCATTGTTCTCGGGGTGTAATGAAGCTGAAAATGGAAAAGGCGCTTATGCACAACTAGGACTGAAGAAGTGGGAGGCGGGTGAACTCCTCCGGGAGCCTCGGGGAGCCAGGGCTGTGTGACGCAAAGCTGGAGGCGGGTGCTGTGCTCCCTGAGGGCCCTACAGCGGGGAGGGGCAGGACCAGGACCAGAGTCCTGACCAGGAGCCCTGGGTACGTGTCTCATGCTTGGTGACTGATGTCCTTGGACCCCAGATGCAAACGCGCCAGTCCCTGGACCACTCACAAATGCCCCCAAATCCACACGTGTGCTTGCCCACCAACACCAAGGTAAATGATGGGGGGTGGTGGGCCCATCCCTGCTCTGCACTTCCAGTGCGAGACCCAAGGCTCATTGCATCACCTGCCTGTTCCTCCACCCCATCTGTGACCTGGTGACAGGCACACCAGCCCCTCCCCAGACAGCGACTGCTCCAGAGGTGCCCCGGGTTAGCAGGAAGGGGTTGCCCCTGAGAAGCTTCCCTGACGTGCTTCTAAGAATGGAGCCCAGACAGGTGGACTGGAGGGACCTGGAGCACCTGTGACGGCGGAACTAAACACCTGTTGCACACCTGTGTCCACGGCAGCCAGGAGGGGGAAGCACCAGCGTCACAGATGCAGGGATAGACAAACAGAGGGTGGCCTGTCACCAGGATGCTAGACTGCTCGGCCTTACAAAGGAAGGGAATTCTGTCACGTGCCGCAATGAGGGTGGCGTGCTCAGCGCCATTAGCCCGTCACAGAAGGACCGAGTGTCCACTCCCATGAGGCACTTGGACAGAGACGGAAAGCATGAGGTTGGCGGCCAGGGGCCAGGGGTGGAAGGAGGGGTCAGCGTCGGATGGGGACAGTTCAGCTTGGGAAGAGGCGCAAGCCCAGGAGGCGGCGGCACACGCCGTGAATGTGCTGACTCCCCTGCACGCCTCACGAGAAGAGTGGCTCAGATGGCAAAGGCCATGCTCTGTATGCGTCCCCACAACTGCTCAAACAGCAAAGAAAAACAGACGTCCTGGGAGTGGGAGCTATGAGAACAGGGGCTGGCGAGAGGCAGGTTCTACCACGAGCTGCAGATTCTAAGTCACTTCTCAGGACAAGGACGGGCAGCGCTACGGCCCGGGAGGAGGCGCATGTGCAGTGCACCGCAAGCCCAGGACGCACCTGCCCCAAACACGTGCATGCATGAGCACGCACACAGACAGCTGTCCAGAGGACCACCCCCCACCCCCGGCACGCCTCACCTGCCAGCACCCAGCTGTACCTGGACTGCCCGGTGTGGGCCACTGGCCACTGACCGCTCACTGCATGTAGGCATACCACGGGCAAAGCTTCTGCAGTCCGCGGTCAGAAGACCACGGCAGAGGAGCTGGCAAATGCCGCTTCCCAGCCAGGGTTCCCGCCATGGGTGTCACCACGTGCTCAGGCGGTCACTACATAGTCACCGTCCAGACGCAAGGGGTCCTGCTGCTGTCCCAGGCCGGCTGGAGCCAGGACTTCAGGCTGGGATCCTGGTGAGCTTTGCTGGGCACTCAGGTGGGGCAGGAGGGGTGGGGGAGCCAGGCAAGGCCCCCCTGGGGAGGCACAATTGACTGCACTCTGTGGGGTAAAGGATTGGATCAGAGTAGCCGCACCCCTGGGTTTCTGGAATGTTCTCCTCAGCACAGGGCAGCCTTGGTCTCTGACTGCCCATGCTGAGCCTGGACGGGCAGCCCCACTTCCTGACACCTGTCACAGTCCCAGGGCAGGGCAAGGACTCTGCACTTGGCACCCGAAGGCTCCAGCGCTTCTCACGAGACGGAGATGTGGGACTGAGGTGCGGCCGCCTGCTTCCCGGCTTCCAGGAGGACAGGGAGCCGGGTCACTGGGGGACAACACCATGCCTGCTCATTTGTGTCATTCAAACCCTCCTGGGGAGGCTCAGGGGAGCAGCTGCATGCCTGGGACAAAGTCCCCAAGAGCCTGCCTCTCGAAGCCCCAAGCACTGTGGCCTCAAGGAAGTGCTGCCCATTTCACAGACAGAAAGGCTGAGGCCAGACCTTGAACGACAGCTTATTTGTGGGCAGCACTGAGGTTGATGGACTCGCCTTGTCCACAGGGGTGCCCCCAGCCAGGGGGGAGGGGAGGACCTGAGAGGACAGCAGGTCTGGAGCAAGGTTGTGCCCTCAGGCCCAGGGAACGGGCAGAGCCCAGAACTCGCTCTGGGAACCTCATCTTACAGCCGCACCCACAGGCCCACCTGCCCCCAGGAAGAGGCCAGGCACGCCCAGTGCCACTTGTGCAGTCACACTGCTGCTCGCCAGGGCAGGGCAGCCCTGGGACACCCAGGCAGCACCCAGACCCCACCACACAGGCTCGAGATGGGGCTGCTGGGGTCCTGAGCCAGCCCTGACCTCCACCCAGGGCCAGGGTGGGAGGCGCATGGGCAGACCCTGCGGGGTCCTGATGCGGGGGGCAGCGGGGAAGCCTGGGCCCAGCCTGCGCCCACCCACGCTGAGCTCACGACAGCAGCGACTCAGCCCCGGAGGCCATTCTGCAGAGCCCTCCCTAGTCAGCAGGGGTGGCGGCTGCCTGTGCTTAGGCCCTGGGGGTGTGCAGAGCAGTGGGGCAGGGCCAGCCCAGCCCACAGCCCAGCTCGCTCCTGGGGCAGGTGCGCTGCCTTGGACAAAAGTCCCCTGCGAGATGCAAACCAGCTGTCGGAGGCCGGCTGCTGAGAGGCCTTCCTCCTGGCCGGGTCTGGGCACGGGGCCTCCTGCGGACCCTGGTGGGCTTCATGCATCTCAGTGACTTTCCTGTTGAGGGGGTCCCGGGGGAAGAGACTTGCCTACAGTTGCACTTGCCCAGGTGTGGCTGGCGACCACTGCAAGCCACAATCCTCCCCCTCCTGGGCGCCGGCTGCACCACCTGCCCTGGCCTCTCCTGCCTGGGGGTTTGGCTGGCGTAATTCAGGCAGAAACGACAATGCAGGGATGGCCCAACAGCCTTTACAGGGTCCACGCTGCCGCCTGCGCCTTCCTTCAGCTGCCAGCCAGACCACGGCACCCAGGGGACGCCTCGGAAGCCTGGGGAGGGGGGGCAGAGCTGGGCGCCGGGGGTGGGCAGCAAGGTCCCCCAGCGGCCTGCAGGTGAACAAGATGCAAACTCTGAACGCTGACGGGTGGGAGAGACTCAATTCAGCAACCGGCTCACAGCAGGTGACAACAGAGGACATTCTGCCTCCGGTGCAGGTGTCACTCTGGAATGTTCTCCCTTCGTCCCCCGTGGTTGCGGGTGAGCACACACATCCCCGCTCCCCTCAACACCCGCCCTGCGCCCCCAGTCTCCCACAGCTCTCAGACACTCAGCGCTGGTTCACACACCTGCAGTACCACCGGCCCCTCTCCCGTGCAGAGCACTGAGTGGCCACATCTGTGCCTGTGGGGCCGTCCCAGGAGGAAAACCCAAGAGAAGGGAGCTCATGCCAGCAAAGGCAGGCCAGAGAGAAAGTGGGGTATCTGAGCTGGAGGTCTTTGGCCTGGGTTTTTTTTGGCATAGGTTTTTTTTTGTTTTGTTTTGCCAGGTGAACGTTCACTCAATTCCAGCATCACCTCCTCCGGACAGCCCTCCTGCCTCTTTAGCACTTGCTACACAGCCTGAGAGAAGACAACGTCTGCTCAATGGCTGAGGAAGTGAATGAACAAGGAAATAAAAATGGACGAGGGGGCCTCTGTTGAGCACAGTCTGAGGTGGGACTGGGTGTGGGTGTCCAAGCTACAGGGGCACCCAGCCTGCTACCCTCCCCTCCACAGCAGGTATCTGGGGAATAAAACACCCCTGGCATAAGGGTGCCCAGGCTGGGTGGTGGGGACCACTGCACAGCCACACCTTGGCCCACCCTGCTACTGTGACCAGGAGTCCCAAAAAGCCCCCACCCATGGGGCCTACCTGCGGCCAGTCGTGCCCATGCCCACGCCCACAGGCCCGGCCCGGCCTGGCCACCCCGGGTCCCTGTCCCCAGGCCCTGTAGGGGGTGCAAGCAGCTGGACTCACGATGCCATTCTGCACACTGAAGCCCAGCTGGTACTTGAGGTCTGGCCGCTTGATGAGGACCGTGGTGACCGGGGGGCAGCTGACGATGTTGAGCTTCACCTGCGTCTGGTTCTTCAGGCCCTGCAGAGCGCGGGACAGGGGTCACGGGCCTGGCGTGGCCGGCGCTGCCAGCCCATGCCAGGGGGCCAGGCTACAGAGGGCGCCCGCGACAAGCAGGCCGCCGGTCCCCTCTGTGCGGGGTGGATAGGTGTTGCCCTGGCCTCTATAGGGTCTTCGGATGTCCAGGGTGGCCACGCCCACTGCGCCCACCATGCTGGCTGTGCCCGCTGCCCCGGTGGGAACTTGCTGCTCCGAGAGCCAGCAGCCAGGCTCGCGTGCTGCTATGTAGAAGTAACGGCCAGCATGGGGCCCCCGCAGGGATCGCCAAGGGGTGGGTACCACGTGAGGGTGGTGAGCAGTCGGGACACAGGACGCTGGGGGCTGCAGCCGGCCAGCTCAGCCAGGAGCCCAGGGTGACCTCGGGCCCAGAGAAGACACAGCTAGGAGCAGGCAGCCCAGGCCACGGTGCTGGGGTCAGGGACAAGGGCCCAAACCCTGACACAGTGGCAGCATCGGCTCCTCTCTGGCCAGGCACCGTCCCTTGAGGAGTGGGGGAGCCCCCCCCCGCCGACACACACACAGAGCCCAGCAGAGCCTCCAGGAGCACAGCCCAGGGAGGGAGGCTCTGGCCACGTTCCCTGCCTTGAGAAAACCCAGCCTGGTCCCTGCCCCTGTAGGGCAACCCACCCTCCCCTGTGCCAGCCAGGGCTTTCATTGCTAACCTGGGAGAGGCCCAAGCAAGACGGGCTGAGCTGGCCACCCTACGCCCACCCCTGCCCCTGCCTGGGCTGACAGAGACTCAGTCACTCCACTGTTCCCCCGGGCAGCCCGGACCCCCCTCAAGTTCAGCAGTCTGGCACAATCTTGGGTTTGGCACCAAGCAGCTACCAGGTGGGTCCCTCTGGGCCTCGTGGGTGGAGGGAGGTGGGGCTCGGGGGACCACAGGGCCGAGGGTCCCGGGGCGCCTACCTTGATGATGCCCTGGCAGGTGGCGAGGGGCAGCCCCACCAGGCTGGTGCCGTTGATGGACATGATCTGGTCCCCGATGCTCAGCTTGCCGGAGCGGGCGGCCGGGCCGCCGTTCATCATGTTGGCCAGGATCACCGTGGGCAGGATGGAGCCCCAGCCCGACTCCACGACCACCACACCCAGGATCTCCCCCTTGTGCTTGTCCAGCTGCAGCTGCGGGCGGGGGCGGCGGCTTGTGAGGACCCGCCGGAGGCCAACCCCCCCACCCAGGCCCTCCACCCCCAGCCTGTGCTGTCACTTAGCGAAGTCCTTTTATTTTTCCTTTGCTTCAAGGGCCACTGTCTCAGCAAACTGCCCGGAGCGTTCACCCACTCACTGCTCTAGCAGTCAAGGTCATTCCTTCACGCAGGGAGCACCCAGCATCACAGATTCAATCAAGGGGCACCCAGGATCAGGACTTGCTCCGTCACCCGCCGGCAGACAGCCTCAGTCAGTCAGTGGGCGGTCAAGGGACCCCTGCCATGTGCTTCTTGGCCCTAGAACTTTCCAGAGGCCCCCCCCCCCAAGGAAAAGCTTGTGGGGCTGCCGCCTGGAAGCCAGCTCCCAGTTTGGCAGAAGCATCTCCTGGATGCTAAGAGCGGCACCAAAAGGCACATTCGCAAGGCCGTCGAGACCGGCCGTCGTCTGCTGCTTTGTCACAGAAACCACGGCACACACAGTGCTCAGCCCGAGGCAGGGGCAGGGTGTGCACGTGGGGCTGCACTTGAGACTTGGTGTGAGAGCCAGGATGCGTGCGGGAGCCCCGCGAAGGCTCGCTCTGGGGTCCTCAGCCGGTGGGCGAGCTGAGGCACCGGGCAGTGTGTGCACAGCCCCTCTGAGGCTGCCCGGCTGGGCTTGCACGGCGGGAGCCCGCAGAGCGCGCTCTTCCCCGGCCGGCGCGGGTGCGGGTGCGGGTGCGGCTGCGGCTGCGGGTGTGGCTGCGGGTGCGGCTGCGGGTGCGGCTGCGGCTTACCTCCTTGCAGTTCTCCGAGTTGGAGAAGTGGATGAGGTCATCGTTGTACATCTCCTGGGTGTTGATGATGTCACTGTATTCCTTCTGGCTCAGGTCTTCGGGGTTGATGCCATTGGCCCGCAGGAACTCCTGATAGGCCACGCTGAAGGCCTGGCCGATGGACTGGGCTATCAGTTGGGCCTGCAGGGGCGGAGCAAGCCCACTGGAGACGGGCACGGAGCACAGGCTCCCACGGGGGGAGGCGGCGGCAAGGCTGGGTGCGGCCCCTGCCAAGGAGGAAGCTGTGGCTCCTGGGACCGAGACTGTCCCCCACCAACGTCCCCTGGGGGTCACCGTGGGGTGAGCCTTCCTCTTGCTTTCTATTTTAGACTTATTTATGGGACTGGTGCTGTGGCATAGCAGGGTGAAGCTGCTGCCGCCTGTGACACCAGCATCCCTTTTGAGTCCCAGCTGCTCCACTTCCTGCTCCACACCTGGGAAAGCAGCGGAAGACGGCCCAAGTGCTTGGGCCCCTGCACCCACATGGGAGACCCGGAAGAAGCTCCTGGCTCCTGGCTCCGGCCCGGCCCAGCCCCGACTGTTACAACCATTTGGGGAGTGAACCAGCAGATAGCAGACCTCTGTCCCTCCCTCCCCACCCCTCTCTCCCTCCCTCCCTCCCTCCCTGCCTCCCTCCCTCTGTCTCTCTCTCTAACTTTTCCAAATAAATAAATCTTTAAAAAATAAATTAAAATTTTTATTATTTATTTTCGAGTCAACAAGCATTCCTGGTCATTCTTTCATTCATTCAATTAGCACTAGAGACAGAGACAGAGCTGGTTCACACCCCAGATGCTCACAAGGACTGGGGCCTGGTCAGTCCAAAGCCAGGACTGGGGAACTCAATCCAGGTCTCCCCAGGGGTGGCAGGAACCCCATCACTCTACCTCCCAGAGTCTGCATTAGCAGGAAGTTGGGGTGTTTCCTGGCGAGTGGCACAGACACCCGCCCATTAGCAGCCGGGGAGGCCCAGCACGTGTGCCCACTGCTCTTGTCGGGGGCGGGGTACAGCCTGGAGACACCAGGGCAAAGCACTTCCATCGCCTTCAATCGCCTTCAACTGAGCCGCTTCCGTGTGCCCTACAGAGGCCTGGACCTCAGTGTGCCACCGCGGGGCCTTGCCTGCTGCACACAGGGACAGCGGGAGGCGCAGGCTGCAGACCTGGGCTCTAGGACGGTAGCAGGGACACAGCAGTCTGCCCCCTGCTCCCCACCCACCACCCCAGATGCCACCAAGGAGACCTCCACAAGGGTGCCCTCGGACAATCTTGGCTCCACGGGACTCAAAGATGGGTGGAAGCCAGAGATCCGGCCTAAACTCCTTCCCTGGGCTCTGCAGGACTTCAGTGCTGCAAATGAACACCCGCGTGGGAAAGTGGGTCCAGACTGGGCACAGAGCACGGGGCCTCTCCTTTCGTGGGCCCCAGTGGAGGCTGCGCCGGCCTCCCCAGCTTTATGGGAAGGAGACCGCTTGGTCCTTCTTGGCTGCCCAGCATCTTGGTGGCGCCTGTACCAGCAGGTGGCGCCGTAGGCCTAGACACTGCAAAGCCAGCACAGGGAGGGGGCCTGGCAGGAGAGCAGGAAAGGGCAATACCCGCCCGAATGAGAGTGGGGGCCCCGGGGAGAGTGGAGGGAGGTGTGGGGGCCACAGGGCAGCTCCGCCCCGCCGGGGATCTCAGGACTCGTGGATGCTGAGACAGCCCAGGGCTGCATCCTGCCTGCACCTGGCTGAGCCCACGTGCAGGAACAGTGGTCTGAGAACATCGGATCCCTTCCCTAAATCCTCCCCCTTCCCCCAGGCCAGGGACCACCTGTGGCCCTTGGACTCTGTCTGGGATTCTCCCAGGACCCACACCTCAACAACCCCCTGCCCCCGTGTCCCACCCCCACTTCCACCCAGGGAAAACTCCCAAGCCAGCCAGGCACGGGGGAGGGGACGTGCACCTCCCTCCTCTCGGGCGCGGTCAGGAGGGAGCCATAGGCGTCGCCTGCCCAGGGCTCAGCCTGGGTACCTGCTTCCTTCCTCCTTAGCAGGGCCAGCTCACAGGGCTCTGCCTGGCCGAGACCCCCCACCCAGCCCTCAGACGGGGGTCTCTCTGCCCTCTCTGCTCCCAGCTAGGCCCATGGCGCTCTCCATTGCAAGCCCAGGAGCCCTGGCCAGGCAGGTGCCATGGGCCCTCAGGTAAGGGCTGGGGCCCTGGGGCGGCCACCTGAGGGTGAACTGTGTGTGCTCCAGACAGGCAGGGGGTGGTGCCAGGCCCATCGCTACGCCCCCTGCACGCTTACCTGTGCAACCCCAGAGCAGCTGAGCTCCATCCAGCAGAGGGAAGGCTGAGGCCCAGAGTGGCCACTGGCGACCCGAAAACCGCTCTCCACTTCCCGCGGCCAATTCTATGCCTGGGTCTCCTCCCACCAGACCCTCAGGTTCCCCGTCCTCATCCCAGCGGCCCACCTGGGCAGCTGCTCACACGGGGGACCCTCCCTCCTTCCTCTGAGGACCACTGAGAGGCCCCACACACGGCCTCTCCCTCTGCCCTTGGCCTTGTCGCCTGCAGAGCTGAGAGCGGCGGCCACCATGGTGTCCTGTGACGCCAGCCCTGCGCCCACAGCCATCCATAGTGGCTCTTCTGCTCCGGGCTCCTGGGTGGCCTTGCCACCAGTTGACTGCTCACCCTTGCCTGCCTGCTTCCTGCCCTACACCCCGTCAGCCCACTCGCCCTGCCGGGCCTCCAGGACACCCTCAGCCCACAGCGATCTCTGCGGACGGGAGGGGAACCCGCATGTGCGCCAGCCACTCAGAAATAAGTGTCCGCGCCTACGGGCCTGTCGTCGCTGTGAGCGGACGACCTCTAATAAGTTCAAAGCCTGTCCTCCAACAGTCTCCACGCCACGCCTCACCCTCCTGAGTCATCTGCTGGTCCTTAGGGGAACGAGAAAACGCACTGGCCACTTGGGCACATGCTGCTGTCCAGGGCGGCTGCCACAGACAAAAGCTTGCAATGAGCTGTTTTCACCAGGGAACAGGCCCACGGAGCAGGACGGCATTTGGCCCGGCAGCGAAGATGCTGGTTAAGACGCCCATGTCCCGTATCTGAGGGTTTGGTCTGGGCCGCAGCTTCCTGCTGATGCGCACCCCGGGAGGCAGTGGCGATGGCTCGAGTGGCTCTGGGCCTGTCACCCACGTGGGAGCCCTGCGCTGGATTCCCACCTCCAGGCTCCAGCCCGGCCCGGCCCGGCCCGGCCCGGCCCGGCCCGGCCCGGCCCAGCCCGGCATCTGGGGAGCAAACCAGCAGATGGGAGCTCCGTCCCTGCCTCTCAAAGAAATGAAAAATTGTGAACAGTAAAATCCGCTCCGGCAACACCACCACGAATGTCTCCACTGTCCCCTGAGGCCACACAGCCCGCAGGGCGTCTGTGAAGAGACCACAGCGCCCCCTCTCACCTGCTCCAGCCTCATAAAAATGCTCTGATCCCAGGGGAGGCAGGGGCCAAGGGCCGCATGGTCTCTCAATGGGTCTTTGGTATTTTAGACTTCGGAATTATTTTTTTTAACTTGCTTCGAAGTGTGGTGTGCAGCTGAGCCTCCGGTGCAGTGCCACTTCTGTTTGGGCCGCCTGCATGTGAAGGTGTGTGCTCTAACCACAGACGGCAGGACACCATCCGCCTTATGTGGGGGAGAAGGCTTTGCACAAGGACTGCTTCAGATGCACGGCTCCCTAATCTAGTTAACTATGCTTCAATTAACGAACAGCCCCACGCCACCTGTCTCGTGGAGTGAGACAGAACGGGGTTCACGCTCTCTGCAGACTCACGGCGGGAAAAGCCAGCCCGCGGAGCCCGCTAGAAACAGCAGGAGCGGCGCACAGAGCTTCCGCCCCGGAGGCGGCCCCCCCGCCCCCCCCCCCCCCCCCCCCCGCCCCTGTACTCACGTCCTCCGACTCGAACACGTGGCAGATCATCTTGTACTGCTTCTTGGCCTCCTGCGCTCCGGGAGTGGTCTCCACGCAGTCCTGAGAAGCCGACCGAGGCATGCGGCGCCTGGCCATGAGCACCACGATGTTGCCGATGTCGGCGATGTAGGAGATGGTGCGCAAGGCGTGGTCCATCATGGTTTCCTGCCGAGAGGGGGTGGGGAGAAGCCCTCATCAGCCAGCATTCCAGGAGACGAGTCATTAAGACACTCTCGCCGGGTTTCTCAACCTTGACGCCTGCCGTTTGGGGCTGGATCGTTCTTTACCCCGGAGAGGGCTGCTCGGCACCCTGGAGGATGCTGGCGCATCCCGGCCTCGACTGCCAGATGCCAGCGGCACCTGCCCCTCCCCCGGCACATCTCCAGCCTTTGTCTCATGCACCGCTCGCCCCCCCCCCCCCCGCCAGAGAGGGGGTCGCAATCGTCCCGATGAGAGCTCCGATGATGATCAGAGCATCTGACGGCAGGGGTCCTGCCTCACCGCATCTCTGCCTCCATCTCACTCCAGCTTCCAGCACGGGACCCCGCTGGCACACGGCACGCGGGGGAGCTGTCCTGGGGGAACCCAGCCCCTCCCTGCAAGGTGTGCACCCTCGCTCAGAGACGTCAGAGCCAACCAACAGTTTCCACCGGGTCAAGCCTTCCCCTGGGGGCTGGGCCTTCTGGCTGGGGTCGGGCACACAGAGGCCTCACGCCCGCCTCCCTTCCATGGGTCCCTGCAGCCCTGGGCAGGTGCACTCCCCATGGCTGGCAAGAGACTCCACCACGGCTGCACACACAGCCCTGAGAAGCAGGGCCCTTGGATCTTCCTGCTGCCTCCAGAGCCCGCCTCCACCGTGGACGCCGCACCGTCTGTCCTGAGGCTGACTTGACTGAGTTCATAACCACAGCCCCGGGGACAGACACGGGTAGGGAACAGGCAGGGCAGCTCCTCAGCATTGCCTGACTCCTAGCCACCATCAGCAACACCTGAGTCAACCCAGTGCCCGGGGTAAGACAGCCACTATCCCGCTGCCTCCTCCCCCACCCCCCGCTCAATTCCCGTCGGTGGCAGCGCCTCCTCCTCACACAGGCTGCCCTCCAGCATGGCCATCGTCCTCTCCCCTACCCCAGGAAGCCACTTCAACCTCCAGGCTCTCGCACCTGTCCCCGCCTTTCTCCCAGGTCATCCTGGACAATGCCCTGCAGCCAGCTCCCACTCCCGGGCTGTGGCACCTCCCCCACCAGGGGGCCATCAGTAAGACACACCATGGCAGGCCTGGCAGCAGCCCCGGGAAAGCCCAGCTGCACGGTGAGCCCTCGCTGGCCTCCGGGATCGGGGACTTGGAGGGGCTTCCCAGCCTCCTGACTGACAGGCTCACTCCGCAGGAACGAGCAAGTCACAGCTGCAGGCTGCATATCTGCCTCCTTAACTGGGATTCTTGCTGCACGTGAGGCAGACGATGCCTAAGGGGCCAGCCCCTGGTGTAGACCTTGGGCACAAAGTCTCTTCGAGCCTGGCAGAGAGCACTGCACATGTGTCGTCACAACCAAGCGCTGGGGGCACCCGGGGGTGGGGGCGGCGCGTGACCCCCCTCCCCCCACATTCCCCTGGACTTGGACCCACAGGCCTTTTCCCCTTGGGGACTTTGCTCGCCGTAACTCATCTTGGCCATGAGCAGGTGCTAAGACACTAAGCTTCTGAGTCCTCGCAGGGTATCAGCGCCCCTGGGTGCTCTTGGGGACCCCCACACAGCGGAGTGTGTCAACAACACATCTGAGAAGCAAAGTCGCAATCTGTGGTGTGTCCTAGACCGAACGCCCAACCCCGACAGCTGTCTCTGGAGTTCTCACCAAGTGCTGGCATGGGGGCAGCAGGTGACAGGGATCAGCGGGACAGGGCGCAGGCCTGCTCAGGGGACAGACGGGTGAGGAGGAAGGGCGGACCCAGCACCCACAGCACGGTGAGCGAGCAGCTCAGAGGGTGGGCAGGCGGGGAGTGGGCCACAGCAGAGCCACACACGCGAGGCCCTCCCAGCTCCACGACGCTCTGCTGCCTCCCCTGAGCCCCAGGAGTGAGGCGGGAGGGAAGGGGCTCCCGGCACAGCTTCCCCCGGGCTTGAGGAGTGACGCCCAGCTCACGTGCTACAGGCTGGGCTCCCCTTGGCTGTCCCAGCAGCCCAGCAATGTGGGGATATGGGTGCTGCACAGCTGTGGGAGGGAGCAGGTGAGGAGGGGGCCCTGCCACTGTGAAGACGTGGGGCCTGGGAATTGGGCGAGGAACTGAGTTGAGAGGGGGGACGGGTACGGAGCCGCCCAGCTGGATGACACACCTGCACCAAGGGCTTTCTAAACACACACAGGTCTGGTTCCGTTCAATGCCAGGGCTCTGGGAGCGACTGAGAGCACAGGCAGCAACCCCATACCATGTTTCCATCCATTGATACCCAGCAGACAGAACCTGGCTCCTGGAACTGGCAGCTGTTCACAGATCGGGGCAGGGGAGACCGCAGGTATACCCTCAGGATGTCTCCCTGTCCGTGGCAGGAAGGGAGTGTTCAGACCCAAAGCAAGGCGCCACAGTGACACAGAACCCAGCTGCAGGGTCCCTGGCCCAGTGTGGGACCATCTGAGCACAATGACGATGGGTTGCAACATATACATTAATAAAGAAAAAAGGATCCAAGAATCCACAGCAAAGAGATGGGGGGGAGAAAGGTCAGCCCTAAGCAGAGACCGGATCAGACCGGATCATTTTCTGCGGCACCTCCATCGGCTCAGGCAGCAGCCGCCACGGATGCCGGAGCCCCAGGGATGCAGGGCCCAGAGCACCACCCCCAGTGACCAACCATGAAGACACGGAGGGGCGTTTACTGGACATGGGCCATCCCATTGGGACAGAAGCTGAGGGGCCCTTCCCTCTGTCTTCCCGAGGCCACCTCCCCTCACACGTCAAACCCAGCCAGACCCGCGCACCTGACCACTGCCCGTCTCCACCCTCGGGCTCAGCCCCTTTCAGCCCCTGCCCCCGTGCTTGCTGGCTCCTCATTCCTCAGCTTCACTGCCTTCCCCACCGCCAGCAGGGTCCGTGCAGTGACTCAGGCTGAGATACGAGCACCAGCTGAACCGTGGGCAGGGGGCACGAGGCTCACAGGTGGAAGAGCTGCAGACCCCTCCCCATGGGAGGGCCACCACACAGTCTGCCTGCCCAGGCTCACCATGCAGGGGTGCAGGGGATCAAGGTCATTCTAGAATCCTGAGTGCCCCCTGCTGTTTGTCTCCATGCAGTCCCAGCTGTAGCTGTGTCACACCTTCTAGCCTGATGCGCCTTGGCCTCTTTCTAATTCCTCTTGCTAGCTAGCTATCTGAAAGGCAGACACACAGATCTTCCATCCTCTGGTTCACTCCCCACAGGCCCGAACTGGGCCAGGCCGAAGCCAAGAGCCCAGAACTCCATCCAGGTCTCCCAAGTGCTTGAGCCATTACCTGCCGCCTCCCAGGACACACATGAGCAGGAAGCTGGATTGGAAGAGGAGCCAGGACCCAAACCCAGGGATTCCGAATGGGATTGTGGGCACGGCTGCACCCAACGCCTACCCTGCTCCTCCTGTAAGTCACTCCAAGCTCCACAATCAGAGCCCACTCGACACCCAGGGGACAGAGCAACTGTCACGGGCCGGCTGCTCCCTCCCTCACATAGGGGAAGTCCCCTCACAGCTGCGCTGGGCGCTTGTGGGTTTGCACAGGTCCAGACAAGCACTTACCTGTGTGTCCGCATTTAAAACCTTGATCCTCTGGGTGGAGATGAACAGATCTACTTCAGTCAGCGTCTGTGCGTCGCCCTCGGAATTCTAACAAAGGACAGTAATGGACACGGTGACAAATCCACACTCTCCTGCGTCCACACAGATGGAGCAGAGCAGCCCGTGGAAACCTAAACGCACACCCCCACCCCAACCCCCACCTCCCGTAGCACCCTAGACCCAAGGGCTGGTTCCCAGAGCAGTTTGCAAAAGACCTAGACACGGCAGGAGAGCCAGCTTCCGGGATGCTGGAATGTGAACGGGGTTCTGATGCCTGGGGTCTCGTGCTGTACCCCCCCAGCCCCCACCAGAAGGCTCTGGGTCTGCAGACTCAGGCTATTTCCTGGATTGGGGATTCCAAGTATCCCCAGGAAATGAGGAAGGAGCTGGATTACACTGTCGGCCTTTCCTTCTGATTCAAGCAGTCACAGCCTTGTCACCCAGCAGCCTCGGCCCAGGCCTCCCACACCCCTGAGAGCACCAGACCTGGGGCCAGTCGGGCACTGTCCTCGCGGTGACCAGAGACACTGTCACCGAGTGGTCCGACTTGTCACTCGCACGAGCCTGAGCTAGCTGTGGTCCCATGGACTGTTCTGGAAGCCGAGCGAACTCCAGGGTCTGCCCCAAGCCAGCACAGCTTTTAATTGGTTTCTCCATCAGTGAGAATCCTAATTACTACCGCACAGTGCTGATGAGATACAAGTTCCCTCGGTCTGCCCCCCGAGGTGGATGACTCTTCTCGGTCACCCGGGAGCCCACGGTGGTTTATCTTCCACTTCCAAACGGCAGAAGCTGTGACTTAATGACTCTAGAAAATCGGAAATCAAAGCTCTCCCTGCTGACACTTGTTCGAGAAGGCCAAGTCACACAGAGACCTGTAATGGACTAAGAACTTTGTGCATTTAGCTCAGTCTTCCAGGGCACGGGTCTTTGGGGCTTCTGGTCTACCATGGACTGCTACTATTCCAACACAAGGGAAGGAGAGCAGAGACGCAAGCGGAAAACTGTTGTGGTCTGCACCAATGCACCTTTCAAGGTTACCTCCTGGGACGGCAATGCCAAGCCCTCCTGCAAAGCAGGTCAGGCCAGAGCAAGTCTAGAAAGCTGCAGATGGACCGTGGTGCTGGTGACAACTGAGGGGGAACCGGATCGCAGAGGTGGGGCCGTGGCAACCCTGATTGCTAAGAGGGAAGGGAGAGGCCACCCACCACATCCCCTGGCAACAGAAGGCAGAAGCAATAGCGCAGACCGGGGAACAGGGTGGCCTCACCATGCCCGTGGCTGGGGGCTGTGACCCCGGGGTCATCAGCGTGTCTCTGGACAGAGGCGTCTCTGCCAGGACCAGGCTCACCCAGCACCACAGCCTCACCAGCTGTGCAGAATGCAGAACCGGCCTAGGTTGCAGACTCGCAGGTGGGGTGTGCGTCCCCTGGAGAAGAGGTGCCCCTCACCTGCAGCCCCCCAGGCCACCGCGGGGAGGCCCAGCCCTGGGGGCAGCTCTGGGGACCTCGGTCCGTAGGGAATGCAGACCAGAAAAGCAGCCTTTGGCAGTGGTCTTGAGCATCCCATCACCCCTCCAGAGGCAGAACGCTATGGGACATCCGGACCTGCAGACCTGGGAGCAGGCTGCGGCTCATGCGGGCACTGCAGGACACAGGCCCCTCTCTCTGGAGGAAGTGCAGCCCCACCTGCAGGTCTACAAACGCTAGGGTTTGATATTATTCCCCTCGAACTCAGGGGTTTGGTCCCCATGTCTTATCGTAATGGTACTAGAAGGGTGGGAATTTGGTCCAATCACGGGGTTAGGAGGTGGCTGGATCGGGTTGGGTCATCAGGGTGGAGTCCCTGTAACTGAGTCCCGCTGGCTTTATGAGAGACAGAGACACAGACAGACACCTGCACTCCCTGTCTCTTGCCCTGTGGTGCCCTGTGCCACCTTCAGACTCTGCCCTGACCAGAGGCCAAACCAAGGGGACCTGCCTGATCTTGGACTGCAGACTTGCAGAACTTAGAGCCACAATAACCCTCCTTTCTTCATAAAGCAGGGCTGCTTCACGTATTTCATTGTAGTATCAAAACGACGACTCAGACGGCAACCGACACCTGCTCTGCACCACCCAGGGATGAGGGATGCAAGGAGAAGCCACTGGGCAGAGAAGCCACTGGGCAGATGGGAGTTTCACTGCAGGGGGACAGGGGTCCCTACAGGGTCCTTTGGCCACAGCACCAGAAAACAGCACCACTTCCAGGTGGCAGGGAGGACTGAAGGCAGCAGCAGGCACTAGGCCGGGTCACAGGTGTGTCCCAGGCGCCCATCATGGAACACCTGACACCTTCCATCAACCAAGTCGACCAAGGACTAAGTGTCAGCCCCACTCTGAGAGCCTGGCCGTGCTCCAGCTCTGTTCAACAGGAGCAAGCTAAGCCACTCGGCATCTCGACGCTGCAAAGTCAAGTTCACGCGTCTAAACATCGGAACCACCTAGTCAACACCGGACAGCAGGCCCAGGCGCCAGACACGTCAATCACGGAACTGTCACCCATTGCTGCCCTAAAACAGGTCCACACAATACAGGGACATGGCAGCATCAGCTAGAACCTGGTTCATGGGAGATTCCGAAGCAGAAAAGAGAACTTTTTAATTCCCTTGCCAGTGCCTGCTTAAAAGCAAAGCAGTGCCTGTAGTTTCACTCAAAAGCCCGCTTTTGACCGAGCAGAGGAAGAGAGAAAACTGCTGTACACCGTTGTTTGGATTCCCCCCAGGAAGCCCCCCACTGAGCAGGGCGAGCCCCGGGCACCCGGCAGAGACCCCACGCTGGCCCAGGGCCACCCGGTCCTACGCACCGCTTTCTTCTTGATCTTAGCAGCCTTCTGCATCCTCTGAGCAGCGTGCAAGAGAAAAGAAAACCAGCTAGGCACCGAGAGCAGGCAGGCGTGGGGCAGCGCCCCAGGACGCAGACCTGGGACCCACAGCAGCCCCCGGGAACAGCGGGGCAGCCGCTCCCCAGACTCCCCAGACACAAGCCCCTGGAGTCCCAGAAAAGACTGTCACCAGGGGCCGTGGCTGAGGACAGACCCCCGGGGAGACACGGGCAGCTGCAAAAGGGCGAGCCAGGCTGGGGTCAGGGCCAGGGCCCTGGCAAGCAGGGCTCCTCTCTCTCTCCTGACCTCCGTGGCTGACCGCAGGGCGCCCCTCTGCCTCTGCTGAGGGGGGCAGTGTGCGCTGAAGGCAGCTTAGGGGGCAACATCCGGCTGGATCCCCGCAGCTGGGAGCATCTGCAGGCCCGACCTTGCCCAGAGGGGTGCCCCCCTGGCCAGCCTCAGCCCCGCCCTCCTGACGCCATGCAGCTTCTAGGTGCGGCTTCATCACTCCTCAGAACCAGACCGTGCCCCGTGCACGGGAGCCGCAGGGCTGTCAGAAGTGTTCTGGCATCCGTGGATTTAAATCACGCACCGTTCACCTTCCCCGTTTCCGAGTGCACTTTGAATGGCACTGAGAACACAACTTGCCCAGCTGGGACCCGAGGCTCCAGACAAACACGTTTAGGCCCAGATCACTCCTGATCATCATGAAAAGCTGCTTCCAGAGGAGTTGGGGGGCCGCTCTGTACTAAGGAGCCAAGGCCCCTGAGCCCAGCCCACCTGCCCCCCGCCAAGGTCCCCTCCGCCTCGCCAGGTGCCTTGGCTTCCCTGGGCAGTGGGGCCATTCCCGCTCTCTGCTGAGGCTGCCAACTCAGAGCCACCTGTCAGAACCCCCACCTCGGTGCTCCTGAGCGCCCCCTGGGGGCACTCCGGGGCCCAGCGCAGCCCTACCTTGACCCGGCTGACGGCCTCCTGCGCCTGCATCATTCGGATGTTTTTGGAAGGGTTCCGCTCGGACAGCAGCTGGGTGGACCCCAGGTAGTTGGCAGCGAAGATGATGCCATCGATGAGGTCTTCTGGCTCACAGGGCCCTGGAACTGAGGGGGCACAGGGTGAGAAATGCCCTGAGCAGAGGGCTCTCCTGGCACGAGGAACGTGGCCGCGAGCACAGGGGTAAGGAGGAGAGCTGAGCCCTGTGCACTCTGCAGCCAGCAAGGGAGCCTGGTCCACCGGCCCTGTTACCCCATGGTGCCTGGCGTGGGTAACGACACCAAATCAACCATGCAGCCAGAAACCTGCATGAGCCATGCCTGGAGGGCGACCCTGGGACCCCAGGCGAGGACCCCTCAAGACAGCTCCATCCCCAGGGTCACGGCTGCAGCCCCAGGAAGTGCTGCTTCCCCAAGATGACAGCACTTCCCACGTCCTCTACAAGCTCCTGGAGCCGACGAAGGGGATCTAGAGCCTCGTGCTCTGCCCCTCCTCGGGCTCCTGCTTGCCTGGAGCCCCCTACTCCCCACACCACAGGCCCTGGCAGGACAGCAAAGTCCTTGTCCCAGCTGCAGCCACAGCCATTGTGGCCCAGCAGACCCTCCAGCCGTGGAGTGTTCTCAGCTCCGTCCTGTAGGACAGCCACCAGCTGCACAGGGAGCCTGGACCGTGGCTCCTCCCACTGAGAGGGGCGGAGTCATTTCCTTGAGTGTGATCACCACGAGCTGGAATAGAAAGAGCCACAAAGGTTTGGGGTCGGCAAACCCTTGCAGTACAGGGCAGAGGTGACCGGGCCAGGCTTTCGTCACCTTTGCAGTGACTTGTGTGACGGAGCCACAGTCAGCATGGAAATCAGTGGGCACAGCTGCGTCTGCTAAAACTGTATCCTCATACAGACCAGGTGGTCAGAGGGACGTGGCCCTGGGGCCAAGGTCAGCCACCTGCTGAGCCTGTCTGCAGCCCTGCTTAGCCTGCCTCCCAGGTCCACGCTGCCTGGCCATGCCACCTGCCTTTGTCCCCTTCCACTGCCCTCCTTCTGGGGGACCTTGGCCCCAGGATCCTCCTTGGCCCAGCTTCCCCCGGGAGCCACTCCAGTGTCACAGGCCCAGCCACTCCGCATCACCCACAACCTCCTCCTGACCTCCCCGCTCTGTGTATCAGCACACAGGTGATGTCACCTCCAACCCACTTCCTTGCTGAAGCCATCGGCTCTCCCAACCTGGATGCCACTGTCCACCACCTCAAAAGCCTCAACGCCCCCCATGCCCGCCTGCTTGCCCCAGAGGGTTGCCGAACTCTCCCCTGTGTTCTCTGGGCCTGAGGTTGCGAGGCGAAGGGTGACCTGCACAGATTCACAGAAAGCCTGGCCCCCAAAGCCCTCAGAACTCCCAGCAGCTCTGACCATGTGCCCTCCCGTCTCCCTCCCTGTCTGTCAAGTGCTGGGGGCTCTGCCTGTGGGGCGTCCCGTGGTGGGTGTCCAGCCCACCCTCCTCTGCATTCTTCAGTGTGCAGTGGGGTCTCTGCCTGGGTCTAAGATCACAGAGACTCCAGCCCTCGCTCCCAACAGGGCCCCTGTGCACATACACCCTCCCATCCCCCGAGCTGGGCCAGAAAGCCAAACCCATGGCCCCGTCCTGGCCTCCAATGAGCCCCTGCCTTCCCCCTCACAGCCAAAGGCCTAGAAAGAGGTGCTGCTTGTGTCTGTGCCTCCTCCCCACCACCCCACGGCCCGCGCCTGCTCGAGACACCCCTGACCTCGGTGCCAGCAGGCCCAGAGACCCCATGGCCATCACCTTGCCTCTGGCCTGAGCCCTGTCTTCCTGGCTGGCCCAACATTTCCATCTCCTCCTTCCTCTTGTACCCATCACATAGAAACGCCCACTCCATAGCTTCCATGACCACTTGCTTAGAAATAACCCTGCAGTCCCTGAACCCCAACCCTGTGGACTCAGCAGCCTGCCGTGGGCTCCCACTGCAGGCCCACAGGTGCCTCCACCTCAAGGTGCCCAAAATAGGCCTTCACTCCTCCTCCATCCCTGTCCTGGTACAGCCCAGGGTCCTTTCCTTGGGGAATGACCCCGTTACCCCCAGCCACACAGGCAGAGGTGCTTCTCCTGCACCCCCACATCTACCCCACACTAAGTCCTGTCCACGCTGCCCACAAAATCTGTCATGCAGGTGTCCCTCCTCCTCTGACACCACTGTCACCCTAGGTCACCCTGAATGGCAGAGGCTTCAATGGTGTCAGTCCACGTGAACCACCATGTTCCGAGTGTCTGTGTCCCCCCAGAACGTGCGAGTTGCAATCCTGACCTCAAAGAGGATGGTATTAAGAGTAAGCCTTTGGGCCGGCGCCGCGGCTCACTAGGCTAATCCTCCGCCTAGCGGCGCCGGCACACCGGGTTCTAGTCCCGGTCGGGGCGCCGGATTCTGTCCCGGTTGCCCCTCTTCCAGGCCAGCCCTCTGCTGTGGCCAGGGAGTGCAGTGGAGGATGGCCCAGGTGCTTGGGCCCTGCACCCCATGGGAGACCAGGATAAGCACCTGGCTCCTGGCTCCTGCCATCGGATCAGCGCGGTGCGCCGGCCGCAGCGCGCCGGCCGCGGCGGCCATTGGAGGGTGAACCAACGGCAAAGGAAGACCTTTCTCTCTGTCTCTCTCTCTCACTGTCCACTCTGCCTGTCAAAAAAAAATTAATAATAAAAAAAAAGAGTAAGCCTTTGGGGTGCACAGGTTACGGCGTGGATAGGATCAGCACCCCCATCAAAGCGAGCCCCGAGACATCCTCCCTCTCTCTACCACGGGAGACACAAAGGGAAGTCAGCCCTGGGCATCTGGCCATGTGGGTGCCCTGAGCTCGGGCTCCAACCCCAGAACTGTGAGAACCAAAGGTCTGTGGCTATGGGCAACCCCCAGCCCATGGCGTCCTCACCCAGGCTGAGCCAGGCTGCCACGCCCATCTACGTGCCCCCACCCCCTGCCCGTCTTCACACTGCCAGGAAGGGTTCTCCTGGGCCTGAAGTCTGACCCTCTGGCCCCTGCTCTTGGGTCCCTGTGGCTCTTAGGAGGCCTCCCGGAGCCTCACTTCCCAGTGTCCTGTTCGGAGGTCAATGGCCAAGGCGGGCCAGGCACTGCCCCAGTGTCCGCACACCCCAGAGCCTGGATTCCCGGCTCCTGACCACACCCCCCACCAGCTGCAAGTAGTCTGTCATCCGGGCCGGCACTGCCGTAGCACCAGATTTCTGAACTGCCCTTTGGAGCTTTGGTTCTTGCTAAACCTCAGGAGAACCCAGCACACAGCCTCCGGGCAGCCTGGGAGGAAAGCCCCCTTTTACCCATCACTTCTGCAACCCTCAGCCCTGAGCACTTTAAAGCAAACTCCTGAACACGGAGTTGTCCAGGGCTCACACAGCAGGTGCAGCCCCGGGAAGCCACGCACGCGAAGGAGCTGCGCCGTCTCCCACCAGAGCGGTGGCTGCCGAGCTAAAGACTTAGCACAGAGCAGAGTGCACTGATGTTTCGGAGGCTCCTGGCAGATCCCGCTCGAGAACTGCCCAGTGCCCCGGGCCGAGAACTGCCCCTCCATCCCGACCCTAGTGCACTGGGGTCCTCACAAGGCCCCCAGCAGCCCCCAGAGTATGCACCCTCTCCTCTTGGGTGCACAGGTCCCTTCTCAGGGGATCTTTGATGACCTGGAAGCCTCTGCCAGACCCCCCAAGGACCAGGCTGAAGCCTCCACCGCCCCCCCCCCCCGCCCCAGGCTGGTCTGCAGAAGCCGCTGGTCCCCCGAGCCTCCTGACCCTGCCCACAGACAACATGCCACTGATGTCCAGTCTATCAGCAGAGCCCCAACACCAGGCCTTCGCGCTCTCCCCCATGCAAGTCTGCGTGGCATCTCAGAGAAGAGCGTGTCCGGCAGGCGGGGCAGGGGTCCTGGAAGGAGCGGAAGGGGAGAGGGTCCCTTCTGGAGCTCATGTCCAGGGGGCGGATGTGGAGAGGCTGTGGCTGACCTCATGTGCACGAGGCCTAGGTGGGAGCAGGATGTGTGGCCTCCAGTCTGCAATTGGCACTGGGACCCCCGAGGCAGAGGCTGCTGGGGCTACCTTAGCTTCCAGCCTCACAGGAGTTCAGCCTTTCCACATTAAGTCACCCCACGGGAAGCACCAAGAACCCTGCCAAGCGTTCACACCACGGCTTCTCAGCCCGTCGTTACCGTCTTCCTTTCTAAAGCTCAATACCAGCTGCCATCTCTCTATCGTCAGGACGGTGCCCTGGCCAACTCTGGCTCCACCACACTCTTCCTGGGCCACCACACTGGCCTCCAGCTCCATGCTGGCTCTAGTTGCAGAGAACAGCTCAGCCACTGCAGCCTGGCAGGACCAGGGCCCAGCCAGGAGGGAGCCCCTCCCAGCCTCACCACGCATCCTTCACGGCTCAGCAAGACCCTTGCCCACAGCTCTGGCCCCAGGTCCCCATGCACACATACATGCATGCACACACACACAGGGGTCAGGAGACAGTGTCCCATGCAACCTCCCCATTGGGGCCACTCCCATCCACGGAGCCCGTGCACCTCCTGGCTGTCTGACACCTGCTAGGGCAGCCAGGCCCTGAGAAAGAACATGGTGCTTTCTGGGGGCAGCGTGGAAAGTGATGGCTTCGGAGGCAGGCGCTTGATTAAAGTAATAAAGGACCCACAATTATCACAAGGCCAGATATGGACCAGAGAAGGAGAGATTCCTGCTGGATCTGAAGATGGCAGCCCGATGCCCTGGCACCTTCACCCCGCCCAGCGTGGCTGCACCTCTCAGAGATGTGACAAAGACAAGAGGCGCCACACAGGAGAGGGGCACAGGGACTCCAGGGCCTGAGATCCCCCAGCCCCTGGGCCCAGGACCTACTCACCTCGGTCCCAGAGGCTCAGCTCAGGACACAAAGAGGATGAAGGGACAGGGCTGGCCGGGCACAGAGCACCACTCCCTGGAGTACAGGCTCTCTGGGGACATTGCTACCTGGGGGGAGTGCTGCAGGGATGCATGAGAGAGGTGGGGAAGGTGACCGTGTGCATGTCCCGAACTCCCTGGCGGCTGGGAACCCACAGCAGAGGGAA